AAATAAGAACCTAGTGATTGCTTAATTGCTAGTCTTACATTACTAACTCTACATACAGACAACAGATTCTGAGAAGTATTTAACCTGTTGTTTGACCCTTCTGCCATGTTGTGCCCCCTCCCCTCCACTTCCAATGTCTTTGGAGCAGTGGTGTATACAAAAAAAAACTAAACAGCTTTTGGGCTGCCACTGGCTGCAAGACAGAAGTAGAAGAGCATTGAACACTCACGAGTTGCACGCTGCCCAGAGGATATATTATTACATTGAAGAAATCATAAGGCAGGCTGAAGGCAGAGTGGTGGCTGACAGGAGAGACCGAGCACTGGACACTGTGAGCAGGTAAGTGGCCTCTCCCCTGGAGCCTGCACACAAACATAGAGGTTAGAACATTAGTTCTTAAAACCTATATGCTATACTGTAGTTAATAGATGTACATTGATACTTATATTATTATAGAGGAATGTGTAAATAACAGTCTGTGATGTATCTATTTTCAAAACTACTGCTCACAAGGCAATAATAAAACAGCAAATAGTCTGAAGTGCTATCAAGTGTTGCTATCTCTGTTTACAAGGCAAGCTCAGATTTGATTTAATTGGGTATACATTTAATGTCAAAGATAAATAAGTTTAGATTTGGTTATGTGAATCACTGTAGAGTGGCATGTAGACTTGTCAGTTTGAGTTTCACAGTCTGAAACTGTGCAGCCACAGCCTGTTGGTGAGGTCAGCCAGGCAATCTAAGTTTAGACCATAATATTGAATCCATAGTAAGATGTGCCTGTGCAGAGTTTTTAGTCAATAGTAAACCCAAGATTTAAAAAAAAAAAAGTTTGGGACATGGGTAAAGGTGCATACTGCAGTTAACAGCTGCTGATTTTTTTTTTTATAAGACAACTAGAGAGCACTTACTAAAAACAATACATTGGATTCAGTAGGTGGCAAAGTTAGGTGAGAGAAACAATGCATTATTAGATAGAGCTGCATTGGATCCTACCTAATATATAAAGCTTCATCGACATGCTTTTGTATTGACTGCTAAGTCTGTACACAAGCTAAGGAGATGCAAATGAATTTAGGAAAAAAATGTCTTTTAAAATAAAACAAAAAAGCAGTCTGGAACAGTTACATTCATGATGATGTTAGTCTGTAGAAGTACATGGGTACTCTATTGGGAGTCAAGATGGCACCATTAGTTGCTCATTTGTCATCACAGGGCCTTGTCATCAGGATGAGCTACATGTCTGAAAACACTTTATGCCTCATACACAGAGCAGGAGTGGGTGATGCGAGGAGGACATTTGAGAAGTTAGCGGATGGCATTTCAAAAGTCAGTGGTGCAGTCATGTGTGGTGGCTGGCAAAATCATTATAGGACATGTCATACACTCACACACTATATGCAGTACTGTCATGTATTACGAGGGATAAATCTGTCACTACCTTTTTATATAATACTCCCTTTTGCGAACCAGTTAGCTTTGAAGTACAAAAAACTGAATGCTCATGTTTGGGTACTGTGTGTTCCTTAGTCTTTCATCAATTTACTGCAACCATTATTTCCACAAAACAGGTCAAGTTGAGATATTGTTCTAACAAGGAGAGGTCATCTCTTGATGCTTAAGTTATGGATCCATGCACATTGGATTGCAGCTGTACATCCTCACTTCATTTAATTTGGTGTTAAGATTCACAAAGATGCAACAAATAAGGGAGTCAAAAAGGGGTGACTGCAGTAATTGTGCAAATGTCCAAAATAACAGAGTCAAAGATTAAATATAAACCATTTATGAGGTTAAAAAAAAAATCAAGCTATATTGTGTATAGAAATGACAAGTGGAGCACGACAGTGGTGCAGCAACTGACAGCGCAAATCTACTTTAAGCTTCTGGATTTGGTAGATGAGTTGTTAAGCACATAAAATGTCAACAAGTAAGATAATAAGAATAGCTTTCCAAGTAACTTAATACTCAAGAGAAACCGTTGGACTACACTGATTTAATAGTATGTATGTAATATATATTTTAAAACCACTTTTACAATAGACTAATAGCATTTTTTGGTATAATGTTAACTTTACTGAACTGTTAACTTTGCAAGTATTATTAGCAATAGTGCACTGTACCTGTCTAGTCTGACAAAACTTTGACAGAACTTTACAAAGACGAATATATCTGAAGCTGTATCCTGTCTCCCTGATTTCAGAGGGTGTGATTGACAAGTGGATTAACCAATCAGAGAGCATGGCTGCTTATACATAAAAAAATACAAAAAACAACAAAAGGATGGAGAAACAGCGTGAATTTTCTCCAAATCAACAGTTAAAAAAAACAAACTATTACTTTTGTCAGGTAAAAGAAGTAATATATTTTGTTCTGAATGTCCTCCACATTTGAGAGGCATTTGATACAATTTAGCAGCTGTATTTGGACCGTCTCAAGTTTGGACGGAGGATTCTCACTCTCTGTTGTCCAGTTCCAGGCCCTTCTGGATTCAAACAGAATGTAGAAGGGACTGGCTGGTCAGGCAAGAGCATTGTAGCAAGGTTAGCAGAATATAATGTATTTCTAAATCAATGTCTAGTCTAGTGATTGCTAACTGTCTGCTATAATCAAATTAGCTTAGAGTTTAGTCAGGACATGAGTTAATTCGTAGTACCATTTGTACCATTTTGTCGTAGTTTAGCTCCAGTCTATATCACTCCAATTGTAGTCAGTCAAAATTTAGAACATTTTTTACCCTACTAAATTACGCAATAGTAATGGTATAAAAATGTCTAGTGTTGAGTGGGTTGAGTAGAGAAGCAGTGAGGTTGTCCTGTCAGCATGTCTCCCGTTTCAGGCTGTTTTGATTTTACCATATGCAAAGTGTCGCTCTTTTTCTAACACTACCCTGAGCCAAGAAGACTGCAGGAGCCAGGGTCTCTTTATAACATATGCTGATGCTTGTGAGTAGCTATGATAAGACACTCTAGGTTATTCTTTGACATTTTAAGTAATAACTGATAGAATATATGAAATCTATAACACTGGCATAGATAAAGCTATACATTTTTAAAATTGTATTATTATCAGTAGTTATCTATTTATTTCATTTGTATGGGTGACAAAAACAAAAAGATTATTACCATGTGGGTGGAGCCTTTCTGTGTGGAGTTTGAATGAATTAATTCTCACGTGTCTGGGTTTGTTTCCATCGGGTGCCTCAGTTTCCCCCACCAACCTCGATGCAACACTAGGCTCATCCTCTCAGGTGGTCCTGAACAAACTTAGCTTGAGATCTGGATATGGTTCCCTGGGCAGCCACTGCACTGTGGTCACCCACTGCGCCAGAAACTTGCCCCAGTGACCCTGAAGTATAAATAAAGTATATCGCAATAATAACCTCATACCACTGCATGCTTACATACCAGATACAAAGAAGAGTTTTCTTTACATGTCACATGCAACAAATATCAAAAATATAACTACACAAAGGTTATAAGATCATCATATTTGTCATAAACCAAGAAATAGTTGTGTAATGAAACAACTAGTATGCATGATGCATTCATAATAGAGTTGCACTTAGATTTAAAACTGGATTTTCAGAAAGACTTTAAAAATATCAAAGTTCAAACAAGGCAATTTGCAATTTAGCTGATGCTATCTACAACAGCAGACAATGCCTTATCTTTTCTATCTTCAGGCTGTCAACCACACATTATAGTTAATAAAGATTAGTGATCTTAAAAGTTATGCAGCACAGTCTAATGTTATAATTTAAGCACATCAATCAGAGACAAGACACTTGTAATTAAGTCATCACATTCTCTAAAAATGTCTTCTTACAGATTTAACATGTTTTCAAACTTAGTACTACTAGTATAAGGAGTATAAGTAGTAACTGTAATAGTAAGAATCAGTATTAGTATTACTCATGGTTGCAGTGTTAGCAGAAATTACTTGAGTCCAAATTGCTCCCATCTTTGATAAAACTCAAATTTAAACTCACATATTCAAGGTCCATGATGACATCCCACACATCCTCCACATTACTGTTCAAAAACAAGGTGAAGGTTCTAAAGTGAGTCATCAGGTCAGAGTTTACAAGAACACAAAATAGTTGTGACATGTGTCATTTTTAAGGGTCAGATGTCCTCAGCACTACACTATACCTTTAATTTGTTGTAGATGTTATGGAATGAATGTGAACATAGGGGTACACGAGGTAACATTTGCAGTGAAGGGTTCGCCACCTGTTTGATTGGTTGAGATATTATTGCTGGCCTGGAAACTCCTTCAGTATGGCACCAAGCATATCTATTTTGCATTTGCATTTTCTATTTATTCATTTACTGGTAATGTTATTGCTAAAAAATCATGTATTCTTACTGAGAATGAGCTTGCCTCGTCATAGGTCTAACCTGTAACATGACCATCTGCTTGTCTCCATCTCCACAGAAACAAGCAAAAGGCATATTTCCTTCTACCAAAAAGTTACATAGTGCACCTTTAATATAGAGACTAAACAGAAGTACTAGATATGGAAGGCTCTGGAAATGTACTATTCTCCTGGGAGTCTAAAAGTATGATTGTTGTCCAGGTATGATCCATAGCAAAAAAGGAAAAAAAAAACAAGTTTGTCAAGTGGACATTTAGAGCAGCATATGGTTTTGTGTCATTAATGGTTATTAGTCACAGCTCTGACTGCTTTAAGTCACTATCAATGCTATTAAAACAATCATAAGCCAGTCATAGAGTGTAGTAGTAGCATCTATAATCATGCTGAGAGGAGAGGCAGGCATAAAAGTGAAACTGGATGCTGCCCTCTGCTGGCTGGTGAGAGAAACAACACTGACATATAACAAGCTCTCTATTCTGGCTTATGCTGTACAAAACCAAGTGAAAACCATCACAAGAAAATGAATGGTCTGAATAGTACAGTTAGACCATCACATTTCTCTGTAACCCGTGTGTTCTTTCATAGAGCCTGATCCAGCAGAGCTCAGATCGACGGCAAGATGTTCAAGAAATCCAAGTTGTCAGACCCGACTGCCGCAGGGCAGGCAGGTAAGTACAGTACTGACTCTGTTACAGGTCAGCCTCTGGATGTCTGTCCCTGCATTTGTTTTTTTCTTGATTGAGTACTGGCGAGGGCAATGACGATGAAGATGAAGAAGAGAATTTATTTGGCTGGTATCTCAGCTCAGAGTGACTAAAACATATGACGGTGCATTGAAGTCACAGTGAACAGAAACACCTTGGATAGCTGCCACACAAAAGATTACATAAGTGTGCCGAGGTCTTTCTCACAGAAGAGAGATATGAAGGCGTTGAATAAAGCTCTATTCTGTTCCATGTTGCACATTTTCGTTGAGAGAAAAATGAAGATAAGCCTGGGAGCAACTTCTTTGTCAAATGGAAGAAGTCCAAGTAACATTCAAGAGATTTCAAATCCCCCACAGTGCATCTGCTTGGCTGTCAGAAAACTCAGAAGAATGCACTTTTTATCAACAAGTGAAGAAAATGAGTGTTTCTGCAGAAGTATATAAGCAACTTCTGACTGACACAGAAACAATGGACTGTGGACAAATGAAACATGAACTTACCACTGGACTGAAGAAATACATTTACCACACAGTGTTACGGTCAACAGGTATCAGCCAAAATCATGAAGCACACAGACAATTGTCAACAGTTCTCCAACTGAAGATCAAATCCATTATGGCCATTTAAAAGATACAATATTATGAAAGATTATTTGAAATTAATTTCTACCAATTTGTTCTTCCCTAAAGAGTGTACATACATTTGTCTCAAGCACTGCACAGGGGTCATCCTGAGAGATCATCATGAAAAACTGAAGCTAAGTCTAATGAGCAGTTGCACAGCATAGCTACCACATGCTGCTGTAACGCCATACTGCTAACACTATGCAGTAGAGCTCCCACTAACCTCTGTGTCTGTGATGTGTCTGGGTTGTCTAAACACTGGCCTGGCTCCAGCTGTGTGTCTCTGTGCTTCCCACCATTTTTGGGTTGTACTAGTGTTCTGTGTTTTAGTACTGTGTGTAGTTTGTGTTGTGATCCTGTCCAAGTGCCACACTGCCATGGTACTTGTCAGGATCCATATTTACCTGTCCTGTTCCCTCTCCTGCCTCTCGTTGTCACGTTAAGTCGGCGGTACAGAGGGATTTCACCCAGATGACAAAGGTATGCGAGCCAGACCGTTCTCAATCACACAAATCAATGTCCTGATGTAAGTGCATGCTCCATGTTGGGTTTTGCATGGATGAGGCCCTCCATCAACTCAGAGGGTTTTCGCTGTAAGATGATGAATGAACCTCCAAACTTTTCAAACCTGACCTTGAAAAAAACAAAGTGTATTAGGAAATGGAAAATAAAACATTAAAACTATTAAAACACACACCAGGTTACAAAATGCTAACAGGATACAACAACGAAATATATTAATGCTAAAAATAAATGTTCAATCTAAACTTAAGTAACTTGTTCAGGTGAGCTCTGTAAAATGTGAAGGCCCATAGTGACGTATAGGCATTCATTATACAAGGCATTTGGTTACAGCTCCTTTTCAGAGAGGCTGGTGCTATTTTTAGTTTCTTGACCTACGGGCTTGACTTGAAACATGAATGAGCAAATAACATCACAATATAGAACTCAAATTTAGATTATAATTTGCTCCTTTTATTTAGTGTGTTACAAGTACTATTTAAATTAGTAGTATTTAAAGTTGTAGTAGAAGCTCTGGTAGCATTATTGAGTTAATAATACAAATACTAAAAAATAAATAAATTCTAATGTTTCTGAACCCAGGTGATCTTACAATTACAAAATCATAGAAAGGACAATTTTCCACATGCTAACATTTTGGTCAACAACATTTGAGGTAAAGAGCAAACAGAGGGAACTGTATAAAGAATAAGTAATTTATCATATCATAAATTTCATATTATATTATCATAAATTATATTATTATTATATACCAAAATAAAACCTGACACAGCCAAAGTTTTGCATTCAGTCTGTTTATGTGAAAACTACTATTTGCTGAGCACAGTGAAGTATATTTTAAGCTTCAGGCATTTCATATGGGGACTATATAGAAGCACATAGCTGTCAAATAATGCTCGATTACAAACTGGATGTTGTCCATTTAAATGAACACAAAACATGTGTACCCTGAAAGCAACTGCTCAGGAGTTCACATCACTGAATGTGTCTATATGGTTTAACATGTAAGCCTATTCACACTTGACAGACCAGTGACTAAGGCCAGAAAAAAAATATAAAAATGATTAAAGATGAGTCTAGTACATTGTAATCCTAATATATCTTTTTTCATACCTGTGCCTATTCCAAGTATAATCACTGGGCCTCCTTGCTCCAACAGAAGTATACTGATATCTGTATAATGTTGCAGTACATGCAGTACATACTGATCTGAAGCGCCTGCCCCCAGCAGTTCACCTCCAACACTGTACGATGGCAAGACACTGCTCCATTCCTCCACCTAAAATATACAAGCAGCTATAGCTTATGCTCAGACATGCATTTGTGTACAAAGGAAACAATGATATCACAAATTGCTTGTTAAATTTGAGATACACACAAATATATGTAGAAATGTGGTTCATTTTATAATGGAAATTGACTTTTAAAGTAAAAAATCATTAAAATGAAGTATGCAACTAACTGGTTTTAAATGTAAGATAGAGAAATACTTCAATATATTAAAATGGGCAGAGTGAAATGACAACAAAGTATTTTCAAAAATATTTCCCTAACTCACTGAAAAGACAATACAATGACTCTTCATATCAGATCATATCATATTCAGTCTCAAGATCAACAGTGTGATAATAATAAAAACAGTATACAATACATACATCAAAATGTGTGTGTGTAAAGAATAATACATTCTTTGCCTAAAAAATGTGTGAAGTGTGACACATTCATTCTTTTAATTCAGACTAACTTCATGTAGTAGCCAAACCATTACATCCCTGAAAGGGGTCCAGCTCAAACCAATAAACACATATTAATCTGTTACTCTGGATGCATGATTATGAAGAGGAAAACAACTAATATTAATCATATTAACTGTCCAGTGAATTGAACAATTACATATTAACAGATTAAAAACTAAAGTCAACTGTACATAGTTGTCTTGACTGAACAGTATAAAACATCTTTTGATGTATTCACTAATGACAGTTTACTTTTTAACTTGTCTATTTAATTAAATTTACCTTTAGCTCACACAGACGAATACAAACAACAGTTTATAGTAAGTACAATCAAGAAAGTACTGTACTGGTATTCAGTATGACTTACCATCAATTGTCAGGGGCAAAAAAAGAGTACTAGTCTAAGTACTAGAAAATATAATTATTCTTGATATATTGATAAGGGGAAAAGGTAACAAGTATATCCAACAACCACAAGATTAATTTAAGATGAAAAACAATTCCTTTATTTATATTCTGAACTAATAAGTCTATTGTCTGTGGCTAGGCATCAGGAAGAGGTCGAAAGTGCCTGGGGTGATGATCACCCAGTTCAAGGAAGAGCTTCCTGAGGGAATGACCACTCCTGATTTCACTCGCAAACCCATTGCTCTCACTATTCAGGAAGGTAAAGTGTATATAGTTATACTTTTTTAGGTATCAGTAATCACCTATATGTAACACTGTATGGCTGTATTTCAGGTAAAACGGCAGTCTTTAAAGCTATTGTGGTTGGAAATCCCAAACCCACAGTGACTTGGAGCCGAGCTAATGGTGACATAGTATTCCACCCAGATGTGTGCATACAGAAATATGATGAGAGCTCTCACGAACATACTCTGGAGGTATACTCTATTAAATCATAAACACAACATACAGTCTTAATATTTGTGTTTTTGTCTGTTAGTTTCCCAAGGTTGCCCCCGAAGATGCGGACACCTACAAATGTTTTGCAAATAATGATCACGGAAGAGCTGTTTGCACCGTTGTTTTGAATGTCATTGCAGGTGAGAAAGACTTTCTTTTGTTGATAAATTAAATAAACTATATATGTTTTGTTGTTTGGCTGACAGTGACAGATGGGTAGCCTACTCTAGTAAACAGGGCAGCTACAGCAGAAAAAGAAGGGTGAATCATTTCCAAGAATAATAGCCACACTGCTCATTGTGAAGTGGAGTGTCTAAAGTGAATAAGAGAAGATGGACAATTAAGGAAAGCTGCCGCCACTATGGTAACGCATATCATCATGTTCAGGCTGGTTCAAGATGGACTAAGTGAGCACAGAGAAATATTCTATGAATGGAATAAATGTCATCCAAGCCTAGGCCATAAATATATCAGCCATTGTTAATTGTAAAGGATATTTTAACCCAGAACTATATTACTATATTTTATGTATATGTATATTATGTTCTCAAATATGGATTTCATTTACCATAGTTGGATTCTCCAAGACCAAGGAGCTTCAGAAAGCCCAAGGAGAAGGTACTGTTTTGCATCGCATATAAGAATCTTGACACAAGATGGGATAAGAATGGGCAAAATGAATATATCTCCATTTCTATGACAAAATCAATAGTTGTTTTTAAATAATAGTAGTAGTAATATTATTAAACTTTCTGGGAAATTAGTAAAAACAAAACATATGCACTGTACGCACAAAGAATGCACCTACGTATGTATTTACTAATGAATTAAATGCATTTCTTTTCTTATGGCAATACTATTTTGAACACTTGTCTACCACATTCACTGTTACATTATTGCCTGAAGTGAGGCTGATCTTCACTCTTCATGGTTTTACAGAGACAGGAGGAGACTTCAGAAAAAATTTAAAGAAAAGGTAATTGAAGTTGGAGCAGTCTGAAAAAGTTCAGAGGTGCAGTATGTCTTAACATTTTGCATCTGATTTGGTAGAAATCCTGATGGAACCCGTGAGGAGAAGCCAATGGAACCGGAGGACAAGGTCTGGGAGATCCTCCTTAGTGCAGACAAGAAAGATTATGAATCAATCTGTGTGGAACATGGCATCACAGACTTCCGTGGCATGCTCAAGAAACTCACCGAAATGAAGAGGGAGAGGGAGGAAGAGATTGCAGCGGTGCCTAAACATTTAAATTTTTGCTGATTTCTTTTTTTATTTAATTTGATCATACTTTTGTTATCTTTCATTTGATTTCTAGTTTGTTTCACATATCAGCACACTCAAACATATTGAAGTTAATGACGATGACTGTGCCACCATCGAGCTAGACATGGACCTCAAAGATCCCACCAGTAAAATTTACTTGTACAAGGTAAAGTTCTTAATTCTTAGATACTGTTAATGAGCAATGTATCCATTTAAATCTATTATTAATTTTATTTATCTTTTTAAAATGATACAATATAATCAATAGCTTGGACAGCATCAAAGGATAGATTAAAACAAATGTAATGGCGAGAGTGGAAAACCAAGAGCCAGATTCTCTGGAGCAGCTGAACAGGTGTCTGGATAAAATGAGAAACATGCTGGGGGTACGATCTCCAAGAGTCAAGTGTACACAAGTGTTCTTGAGGTTAACGATGACCATAAAGGAAGAGTAAAGGAGGGGTTAGGAGTACTGTGTACACTTACTCACACCTACTATGGGATCAAAATAGGGTTCATAATGATATTTTGTTTGTGGTTAATGTAGCATATCTAAAAAGGTGTATGCAAGGGACAGAGGGGTGGAGTTGGTGTAGGTACAGGGCTAGAAACAGAAGGCTAGGCTGCGGCTCTCTGGGAGGTAGGGAAGCAGTAAAAAACACAAGAAACTGCAGAGCTATGGTTGGTGTGATATATATGAAATCTTTTCCACTTTTCAAAAAAAAAAAAAAAAAAAAAAAAAAATAATAATAATAATAATAATTAATAAATAAATAATATATATATACACACAATATTTACAATGATCTGCAGATTTCTCAAGTTTGGTTAATACATTTGAAACAATATGAAATAGCAGTAGTGAATAAGTCACTTTGTTAGTGTCTTTATCTTTGTCCAAAACCAAAAGGTGAAATTTAATGTCCACAATTCATGTCCATAGTCTTTCAGGGGGTGTATGTGTGCAATTGTCCAAAAGCGGGTTGAGTAGGTGAAATGCGGGAGCGGACTGGCTGCAACAGCCCCTTATCCGACCGTAGAAACTATTTGAAGTGTCGTAAGTTGTAGGCAAAGTTTCTGGGTTCTGCTCGCCATCGGGATGGTTTTCTTAACCAGAATCACCTGGCCTGTGGTAAATAACAGTACCAGTTTTAGTTAAATACAGTTCGGGCTGATTAGCCATTAGCCATAGCTATCGGTAGCTCTGTGATTAATAGTGCATTAGCATGAACACATGAACAAGTTAGCGGTGGAGGCTATTGGCATGTTAGCGGCAACAAACAAACAAGACAGACAGACTCACCATTCCCTTGTGCTATCATTTAATACGGTCTTTTCGGCATCGGACAGTAGCGGTAAGGGCTCCTGAAAGGTTGCATAAGTAAGCGTAAGTTTATGAACAACTGATGTAATATAAAAAGCAAGAGAATAGAAAATTCGTGATGGTAGCTCCATACCTGCGCAGCCGTCCTGTCTCGCCGCACTCCCGGGTGTGTACGGAGGGAGGGGAGCAGGTGACTTATCGAAAGCGCGAGCGTGCGCGTGATGCGTTTAGTGACCCCTCGCAGTTGGAATATTCGCTATTGACTAGATTTATATATTTTAACCTGGGTTACATTAATCTTCCACTCCCTTCACATACCAGGATATTTATAAGCATATTTTACCATAAATAATGTGACACAAAATCTGTGTAACTCTTAATGTTTGTGATGTCACAGGATGGTGTTATGGTCCCATTTACCAAAGAGGAATGTGAAGGGCAGAAGCACAGTTTAAAACAGGTTGGAAAGAAATTTGTGTTTACAATTAAAGGTTTGGGTAAAGATGATGCTGGACTCTACTCAGTGGATGTTGGAGGATGCAACGTTTTCTCCACAAATTTAAAAGGTAAGCTGTCTGTTGGTCATACATACAACAAAACAGGTCAAGCTAACCATAGTTTATTTATACATCTCTTATTGTTATATGCAGCACCAGACGTTGAGTTTGCAGTCAAAATCCAAGAGGTCAAGGCAGAGGAGAGAGGAGATGCCATGTTCCAGTGCGTCCTGACAGCCCCATATGATGAACTCAAATGGTTTGGTAAAAAGGCTCCACTTAGCCATGGGGAGAAGTTTGAAATTACCATGTCAGAGGATAAGCTCATCCACACACTCATCATAAGAGACTGTGCTCCTTTGGATGGTGGTATCTACGCAGCTGTGGCAGGAGTCAGGTCCTGCAATGCCTGGCTCATAGTGGAAGGTGAGATTAGTTTTGACCGTTGACAGTTTTGCTGTTGAACTGATTGTTTAGTTGGACTAAACAGAGCTGAAATGCAGATTCAGCAAGTTCAAACTGGTCAAAACTGACAATAAAACAAAGGATGTTATTGGTTAAATATAATAAACCCTAATGGTTGGTGCTTGTATCAAGTATAAAAATGTATTCATGTATTTTGCAGCTGACAAAGACCCCAAAGGCAAAAAAGGAGAACGCAAAACCACCATGGCAGGAGCCCTCAATGCAGAGGAACTGGCGAGAATAGCTAAAGAACAGCAAGAACGATATGAGAAAGAGATGGCTGAGAAGATTGAGAAGGCCAAACAGGCTCAGGCTGAGCAGGAGGTGGCAGATGCAGCAGCCAAACTGGAAGCTGAAGAAGCAAAGAAGCAAGCAGCTGAAGCTAAAGCAGCAGCACTGGCTGAAGCTAAGGCTGAAGCTAAAGCTAAGAAGGCAGCCAAGATCGCAGCTGCCCGAGCTGCCAAGGAGGAAGCTGCCCGGCGGAGGGCAGGTGGTGGAGGCGAGGGGGGTACTGGTGCAGATAGGGCTGCTGGAGCAGCAGGAGAAGGAGAACTTGATGGTGAACTTGACGATGAAGAGTTATCTGATTCTGAAAAAGAGCATGAGGGAGCAGGGGGAGGAGCTGCTGGGGATGGAGCTGGTGGAGCAGACAGTGCAGAAGGAGAAGAAGGAGAAGGAGGGGACGGAGAGGAGAAAGGCAAAGGAAAACGTAAGAAGAAGAGAGCCGGTCCACTGGTCCCAGACACTGTCATAGGTAAGAAAATCACACCAATTTATGTATGTTGTTCAAATGTCAGAAACTTTTAGGTTATTTGGCCAACCCTCAAGAATTATGATACAAATAGATTATATACAGTAGATCAAAGTATGTTTTTTTTTTTTTTTTTTTTTTCATGCAATTAATTACACTTTTACTCCTGTCATGCTTTCACGAGACTATACACGGACAAATATTTTATGCATACCTTAAAGTTGTACAGAGCTGAAGCTTGGTTCCTGCCTATTAAATACTAATGAATTTATAAGACAAGACATTTAGCATGAGTGGTATTTCATTCATCTTCAATATCTTTCTGGCTTGGAGTTTTAAAGGACTCAGTGATTGCTACATGTTGTTTATGTATGTATGCCTATATGTTCAATAATCTTCATCTTATCATGTTCTTTAAATATACATTTTCTTTTCAGGACCTATAAAAAGCCATTCAATTACATCTGGAATTGAATGAATGTTTGAGAAAAAGTTTATGCATATTATAACATAAAAGATAAACTAACAATAACATGATAAATATATTGACAATAGCACATATGGCTCTGTGTTGCTGCTGATTGTTGCTAATAGGAGATGATGATGAGGATATAGATGAGGAAACTGCTAAACAACAAGGAAAAGCTGCAAGAAAAGGAAAACGTGCCAAAAAAAGGCTTGAGGAGGCTGAAGCCGCAGCAGTGGGTAAGAGTCAAAGGCTGCATGACTTAGACCAGTTTCTGCTTCACAAAGTCATTCAGGATCTGACATGACTTTTGGAAAAGTAATGTGTTTCAGAGCCTTACAGCAGCTACATTAACACCACATGTGTATAATACTGGCTCTCAACCCCTGCCAGATGATTATACAATGATTTAACACTATACTGCTCTTCTGCATTGTTGCAACTCGGGCAGTAAGAACAGAATACTGAAGATTAAAGTGTGAAGAGTTTGTTCAATTTATTTTTTTTTTATAAAGTTTGCCTTTATAAAAACTTATCAGCGCTTACGCAATGCTGATGACATCCATCTTAATACAGATTGGTGACAAACTTCCCCATCTGGACTGCATTGAATCAGAGGCCAATGTCCTCTTTGCTCATCTTTCTAGCCTGGAGCAAAAAATACAAAAAATAAGGAATGCCAAAAAAAGAAATTATTTATCCTACTTCTCAGTTCAAAGGTCTCATTTATGATGAATACAGAGTAAATATGTCCACAAGATGTTTCTGTGAGATGACATAAATCAAAATATGAATTATGTCTCCACTTCAACATATTTTTTTAACAAAGAGAAACCAAAAGATGTTCTCCTGACAAGTGTCAAATATATTCCACTATTTTACCCTACAGGTCACCCATCTGTATTAGCACAGAGGAAGTTACTTCTAATCTTAATATTGATGAATGTAGATGTGTTGTATGTTTGTCTTTTTGTAAAATTGTGTATTTGGTTTTGTGTGATGTCCAGTGTCTCTCTCTTGCCCATGTTGTTTATGTCAGTTTGGATCAATGGTGATTATATCCTCAAAAAGAGGAGCCTGTGGAAATAATGTATTTATGTTGTTGTTCAAATGTGTGTGATTGTTAATCGGTCAACCCTCAGGATGCTTTACACCTAGGTGTATAATAATGTAACAATATAAAATGACAATAGCATATATGGCTCTTTGTTGCTGCTGGTTGTTGCTAATAGGAGATGAGGATGAGGATATAGATGATGAAACTGCTAAACAACAAGGACAGGATGCAAGAAAAGGAAAACGTGCCAAAAAGAGGCTTGAGGAGGCTGAAGCCGCAGCAGCAGCAGTGGGTAAGAGTTAAAAGCTGCATGATCTAGACCAGTTTCTGCTTCACAAAGTCATTCAGGATCTGACATGACTTTGAAGTTTGGGAAAGTAGGGCGTGTTGGAGCCTTACAGCAGCTACATTAACACATGTGTATAATACTGGCATTATACGCAATGATTTAAAACTAAACTTTTCTTGGTCGCGGTTATGTAAATAATGGTGCAGTGATAACAGAAAAGTTCAGATTCAAAAGTGTGAATTTTCTTTTACTAAATACACTTTGGTAAAGCATTAGCAATGCTTATGCAGTGCTGATGACATTCATAATCTTTATACAAATGGGTGACAAACTACCACATACCTGACCCTAAACCAAAGCCAACATCCTCTTTGCTCTCCACTCTAGCCTGGAACAAAACATGTACGGTGAATAAATAGTAAAGATGTTTTATGTGACAAAACTCTGGTCTGACCTACCTACAAAAAAAAAAAAAAAAAAAAACTAACTAAAGATCCCTTGAATAGCGGAAAATATATTCCACTATTTTCCCCTACAGGTCAGTGGTCACCCATCTGTATTAGCACAGAGGAAGTTACTTCTAATCTTATTATTGTGGAAGTGTTTATGTGTTTTTTGTGATCTTCTTCTGTGATGTGTTTTTGTGTGGTGTCCAATTTGTATTTTTCTCTTTTATCCATACTGTTTGTCTTACTGTGGATTGATGGTTATTATATCCTTTAAGACAGAGAGGGAGTGGCCTGTGGTAATAATGGTGTGGGGCCACAGCAGGCAACAGCAAATCTGAAGAGTCATTGTGTGTTAATAGGTCAACACTTTTGAGAAAATAAAATAAAGTGAGTGTGTAATAATATAATAATATAAACTGACAATAGAACATGTGGCTCTGTGTTGCTGCTGGTTGTTGCTAATAGGAGATGATGATGAGGATATAGATGATGAAACTGCTAAACAAGGAAAGGAGGCAAGAAAAGGAAAACGTGCCAAAAAGAGGCTTGAGGAGGCTGAAGCCGCAGCAGCAGGAGCAGCAGGAGCAGTGGGTAAGAGTCAAAGGCTGCATGACCTAGACCAGTTTCTGCTTCACAAAGTCATTCAGGATCTGACGTGACTTTGTAGTTTGGAAAAATGGTGCATTTCAGAGCCCTAATAATGATAATATTACTACTAATAATAATAATAACACCTTGTACAGCGCTTTTCAAGATACTCAAATATGCTTTACATGAAGAGACAAAAAGAAGAGGAAACTTATTAAAAGGTGGTTTCAAAGAGATGGGTTTTTAGGGCTTTTTTGAAACATTGTGAGTTTTGATGAGTCTCTGATCTGTTTGGGGAGGGAGTTCCTGTGGGTGGAGGCAGTAGCGCAGAAGCACTGTCAGCCAAGGTCTTGAGTTTAGTCTTGGTGGTAGGAGACAGGAGGTTGGCATAGCTTATAGTTGGGGGCCAGATGATGGAGGGACTTGTACACAATGGTGAGGAGCTTGAATTGGATGCGCTGGGAATGGGGAATCAGCAGAGATCTTTGAGGAAGGATTCACCAGATTGTGGGAAGAAGGATGGGGAGAGGTGAGCAATGTTCCAGAGGTGCAGAAAGCTGTTTTGGTGATGTTTTATGTGATGCTTGTAAGAGAGGGTCTGATAGAAGACGATGCCGAGGTTGCATAAATCAGAGGAGTAGGAGAATGAGGAGCTGTCGATGGAGAAGGCGAAGTTAATGTAGGTTTTGGAGAGTGTTTCGAGACCAATGATGATTATTTCATTTTTGTCACAGTTGAGTGACACAGTTAAGTTTGATCATAGCCAGGATTTTATTTTGGAGATGTAGGTTATGTTTTAGTGTGTGGATGGGATCATGGATTTGGTGGACTGGTATAGTTGGATGTCGTCTGCAAAACAACGGAACTAGAGCCCATAGCAGCGAATTGTACAACAGAGGGGGAGGATGTAGAGTATGAAGAGGAGGGAGTCAAGAACTGAACCATGGGGAACACCTTGAGTGAGTGAAGCGTAGGGGGACATGCAGTGGTTTATATGGATGAATTGGTATCCGTCGGTGAGGTAGAAAGTGAACCTGGAGAGGGCAGTATCAATGATAATGAAGGTGGTATACAGGCAGGAGAAGAGGATGTATTGGTTCATGGTGTTGAAGGTGTCTCAGTGCTGTAGTGGGAGTGGAAACCTTACAACAGCTACATTAACACATGTCTATAATACTGGCATAATACGCAATGATTTTAGAACATTAGCGGCGCTTATGTTGATGTTATGTTGATGAATGTTGATGGCATTTAGAATCTTTATACAGGTGACACACTACCACATACCTGACCCTAAACCACAGTATATCAAAGCCAACATCTTCTTTGCTCTCCTCTATAGCCTAGAATCAAACATTTATGGTGAATAAATAGTAAAGATGTTTTATGTGACAAAACTCTGGTCTGACCTAACTACAAAAAAAAAATAACTAAAGATGATCCCTTGACTAGCGGAAAATATATTCCACTATTTTCCCCTACAGGTCAGTGGTCACCCATCTGTATTAGCACAGAGGAAGTTACTTCTAATCTTATTATTGTGGATGTGTTTATGTGTTTTTTGTGATCTTCTTCTGTGATGTGTTTTTGTGTGGTGTCCAATTTGTATTTTTCTCTTTTATCCATACTGTTTGTCTTACTGTGGATTGATGGTTATTATATCCTTTAAGACAGAGAGGGAGTGGCCTGTGGTAATAATGGTGTGGGGCCACAGCAGGCAACAGCAAATCTGAAGAGTCATTGTGTGTTAATAGGTCAACACTTTTGAGAAAATAAAATAAAGTGAGTGTGTAATAATATAATAATATAAACTGACAATAGAACATGTGGCTCTGTGTTGCTGCTGGTTGTTGCTAATAGGAGATGATGATGAGGATATAGATGATGAAACTGCTAAACAACAAGGAAAGGATGCAAGAAAAGGAAAACGTGCCAAAAAGAGGCTTGAGGAGGCTGAAGCCGCAGCAGCAGGAGCAGGAGCAGTGGGTAAGAGTCAAAGGCTGCATGACCTAGACCAGTTTCTGCTTCACAAAGTCATTCAGGATCTGACGTGACTTTGTAGTTTGGAAAAATGGTGCATTTCAGAGCCCTAATAATGATAATATTACTACTAATAATAATAATAACACCTTGTACAGCGCTTTTCAAGATACTCAAATATGCTTTACATGAAGAGACAAAAAGAAGAGGAAACTTATTAAAAGGTGGTTTCAAAGAGATGGGTTTTTAGGGCTTTTTTGAAACATTGTGAGTTTTGATGAGTCTCTGATCTGTTTGGGGAGGGAGTTCCTGCGGGTGGAGGCAGTAGCGCAGAAGCACTGTCAGCCAAGGTCTTGAGTTTAGTCTTGGTGGTAGGAGACAGGAGGTTGGCATAGCTTATAGTTGGGGGCCAGATGATGGAGGGACTTGTACACAATGGTGAGGAGCTTGAATTGGATGCGCTGGGAATGGGGAATCAGCAGAGATCTTTGAGGAAGGATTCACCAGATTGTGGGAAGAAGGATGGGGAGAGGTGAGCAATGTTCCAGAGGTGCAGAAAGCTGTTTTGGTGATGTTTTATGTGATGCTTGTAAGAGAGGGTCTGATAGAAGACGATGCCGAGGTTGCATAAATCAGAGGAGTAGGGGACTGAGGAGCTGTCGATGGAGAAGGCGAAGTTAATGTAGGTTTTGGAGAGTGTTTCGAGACCAATGATGATTATTTCATTTTTGTCACAGTTGAGTGACACAGTTAAGTTTGATCATAGCCAGGATTTTATTTTGGAGATGTAGGTTATGTTTTAGTGTGTGGATGGGATCATGGATTTGGTGGACTGGTATAGTGGGATGTCGTGTGCAAAACAACGGAACTAGAGCTCATAGCAGCGAATTGTACAACAGAGGGGGAGGATGTAGAGTATGAAGAGGAGGGAGTCAAGAACTGAACCATGGGGAACACCTTGAGTGAGTGAAGCGTAGGGGGACATGCGGTGGTTTATATGGATGAATTGGTATCCGTCGGTGAGGTAGAAAGTGAACCTGGAGAGGGCAGTATCAATGATAATGAAGGTGGTATACAGGCAGGAGAAGAGGATGTATTGGTTCATGGTTTCGAAGGTGTCTCAGTGCTGTAGTGGGAGTGGAAACCTTACAACAGCTACATTAACACATGTCTATAATACTGGCATAATATGCAATGATTTTAGAACATTAGCGGCGCTTATGTTGATGTTATGTTGATGGCATTTAGAATCTTTATACAGGTGACACACTACCACATACCTGACCCTAAACCACAGTATATCAAAGCCAACATCTTCTTTGCTCTCCTCTATAGCCTAGAATCAAACATTTATGGTGAATAAATAGTAAAGATGTTTTATGTGACAAAACTCTGGTCTGACCTAACTACAAAAAAAAACCTAACTAAAGATGATCCCTTGACTAGCGGAAAATATATTCCACTATTTTCCCCTACAGGTCAGTGGTCACCCATCTGTATTAGCACAGAGGAAGTTACTTCTAATCTTATTATTGTGGATGTGTTTATGTGTTTTTTGTGATCTTCTTCTGTGATGTGTTTTTGTGTGGTGTCCAATTTGTATTTTTCTCTTTTATCCATACTTTAACTTCTTGGGTTCTTTTTAAAGACAATGCAGTAAAGTGTATTTACCTGTTTGTCTTACTGTGGATTGATGGTTATTATATCCTTTAAGACAGAGAGGGAGTGGCGTGTGGTAATAATGGTGTGGGGCCACAGCAGGCAACAGCAAATCTGAAGAAAACATTGCACTCATTTGTGTATGTTGTTGTTCAAATTGTGCCAGTGGATTATTAATGGAACAACCCATTAGTATAACAACATATTACTGACAATAGAACATGTGGCTCTTTGTTGCTGCTGGTTGTTGCTAATAGGAGATGATGATGAGGATATAGATGATGAAACTGCTAAACAACAAGGAAAGGATGCAAGAAAAGGAAAACCTGCCAAAAAGAGGCTTGAGGAGGCTGAAGCTGCAGCAGCAGGAGCAGTGGGTAAGAGTCAAAGGCTGCATGATCTAGACCAGTTTCTGCTTCACAAAGTCATTCAGGATCTGATATGACTTTGAAGTTTGGGAAAGTAGGGCGTGTTGAAGCTTTACAGCAGCTACATTAACACATGTGTATAATACTGGCATTATACGCAATGATTTAAAACTAAACTTTTCTTGGTCGCGGTTGTGTAAATAATGGTGCAGTGATAACAGAAAAGTTCAGATTCAAAAGTGTGAATTTTCTTTTACTAAATACACTTTGGTAAAGCATTAGCAATGCTTATGCAGTGCTGATGACATTCATAATCTTTATACAAATGGGTGACAAACTACCACATACCTGACCCTAAACCACAGTATATCAAAGCCAACATCCTCTTTGCTCTCCACTCTAGCCTGGAACAAAACATGTACGGTGAATAAATAGTAAAGATGTTTTTGTGAGTTGACAAAAATTTGGTCTAACCTAAAAAATACTAATAATCTTTTTCTACATGCAGAATTTATATTAAAAAGAAACATAACTAAAGTATAAAATATATTCCAATATTTTTCCCTACAGGTCAGTGGTCATCCATCTGTATTAGCAAAGAGGAAATTACTTCTAATCTTAATATAGATTATTGTAGATGTGTTGTTTATTTGTTTTCTGTGATCTTCTTGTGTGATGTGCTTTTATGTAGTGTCTAGTTTGTATTTGTCTCTTTTATCCATATTGTTTTTCTTAATGTGGACTGATGGCTATTACATCCTTTAAGACATAGGAGAAGGAGGAGCCTGTGGATTGTTAATGAGTCAATCCTCAGGATAGTTACAGAAAGTAAAATAAATACACTTAAGTGTATAATAATGCAACAATATAAATTAACGGTAGAACATATGGCTCTGTGTTGCTGCTGGTTGTTGCTAATAGGAGATGATGATGAGGATATAGATGATGAAACTGCTAAACAACAAGGAAAGGATTCAAGAAAAGGAAAACGTGCCAAAAAGAGGCTTGAGGAGGCTGAAGCCGCAGCAGCAGCAGAAGCAGGAGCAGTGGGTAAGAGTCAAAGGCTGCATGACCTAGACCAGTTTCTGCTTCAAAAAGTCATTCAGGATCTGACATGACTTTGTAGTTTGGAAAAGTCACACCGTTGTGTTACATTTATATGACATACGTATAATACCGGCTTTGTATGCAGCTCTCAGCCCCCGATGATTCAAAACTAAACTGCAGTGAATAGAACAGAACATTAAAGATTAAAACGTGTGCATAATTTCATTTATATAGTTTTTTTTTTTTTTTTTTTTTTACTAATCATGCTTCTGTAGAACAGTAGTAACATGCACACAATGCTATATATGCTTTATATAGATGGGTGACAAACTACCCCATACCTGGGCCTAAACCAGAGTGAAGGTCCAAGGTCAGTGCCCTCTTGCTCTCCTCTCTAGTCCTAGAACAAAAACAGAGAAGAAAGCAGAGGCTATGGCAAAAACAAATTAGTTATTGCCAATAATATCGAGCCCTTGCAATTAAGTCAGAAGTCAAGTGTGATGAAAAATATAGTAAATATATGGTTAAATGATTTTTTAGTATAAGTCTACAGTATTTATAAGAAGAGATAAGAGATATAAGAGAAGAATATCTGATAAATTACAAATTATGATCCCTTGACAAGTGAAAAATATCCAGATATTTTACCCTGCCATACTGGTCACCCATCTGTCTGTCTAATATTAGCATTTAGTGAAATTTCTGTTTAATTTTATGAATGAATATAGTTCTATATGTAAGTTCTATATTTGTACTTTGATGTGTGTGTGTGTATTTGCTCAGTTTACATTTTTTTCTCTTGTCCTTGTCTTATGTTAAATGTAGCCAAAATCTACTGTTTTAAGTTATGTCACATTTGCTGTGTCCATTTTACATCCTCTTCTTCACTGAAATGTGTGTTGTGTTTCTGTGTTTGCTCAGGTCTTGTTTTGATGCGTCCTATGGATGTGTTAATTGTTATGGTTACTGTTTTCATTAATGGTTTTTGAAAGGCATATCCAACAGATAAAAAGAAACATTGGACTGATGGTAATGATATCCTGTAAAACTAAAAATCAAAAGGCAAAGGAGAGTGAGGTGATACTGGCGTGGGGCCAGCAGGCAGCGATGGTGAGGCTGCAGAGCCTGATGAGCCCCAGGCCACTGCCAAGCGTTCAGGCCGCACACGCCAAGGCCCATTGATCGCCGAGACTGTTAGTGGTAAGATTACAGGAGCTGCTTATCTGCTGCATGGGAAGCACTGTACACTGAAGAAAGCCATCTGACCAACAGATGACTTCAGCAGTGATCTGCAGCGTGTAAGAACAGAATGTACCATTGGATCCCATTTGGAGAAATGAATGATCACAATGACATTCTGATAATCCTTGCACTAATATTTAGATAACAATGCTTCAGGCATAAAGCTATCAAATCAAACAATCAGGACGGAACAAGCTAATTGTAGAAAGTGTCTACCCAGTGTTGTGTAGCTTGCTTCTGTCTCTTTCATGTTAATATCTTGCTTGCTTTCTAAGTGTTGATTCAGGATGATTTCAAGGCCTTGAGCTCAGTGTTCCACTCAATGATCACACAAATAGGTTTCCTCTTTAGAGCACTCAAACATTAAAGTGTGTGAAGAGAGAAGACAAGATGGAAGATGCCCATCCCACTAGAAGACTGAACTTCACCAAAGAGTTAGTTCCTTCCACAGGAACCATCTGTTATTCACTATAAAATGCTTTTGAAAGTATGTTTCCTTTAGAGAAATCTCAAAGAAAAATTCTTGGTAATAACTATTACCATATTTGCCAAGAGTCCCAAAGGAGACAAGACAGAATCGATTGAGGACGAAGACGACAATTTTTATCTATTGAGCTTTTGTGTTGGTCTGTGAATTGTAATTTATTGATGCTGTAATATATTTGGAACATTATAAAATATCACATTGTTAATTTAAAATAAATTATATTAATGCAGTCCTTTAAGACCATAAACTAAAGGTTGTGAGTCAAGGTAAGTGTGGACGCCTTCATTTTTATGAATGTACACATTTCTTGAAAATATGTTTTAAATTTTACACGCAAGGAGTAGAAAATAGAGTTTTAGGCTGTGTTCTAACTAAGTGGCTGCTAAATCTTCAGACCCGGGAGTGCACTTTCATGCTGGGCTTTCTGACTGCAAAGCCATTATGGGAGAAGCAGCAGAGCTGGAGTGCAAACTGAGCAGTGAGGAATGTAAAGGAATCTGGTACAAAGATGGAGAAGAGGTGAGTAAAACTGAAGCTGAAAAAGGGGAATTTTACACAGGTCTTGTCATGGATTTCCTTCTTTTATTTTACAGATTAAAGAGGATAGGGAAGGTGTCACTATCACTCAAGAGGGAAGTTTCCACAGGTTGAAAATCCACAAAGTTACAGAGGAGTTTGGCGGGAAATATAAATTTGAAGCAGATGGACGCAAAACAGAGGCCATGATTGTGGTGGAAGGTAAATAAGATTATTGTTACTATATTCTGGTTTAGGCAGCATCCATAGTGAAAAAAAGATTGAATTTTGTCAACTAGACAAAGGTTTTCAAGTGAATAAATTTCACTAAACTTAACATAAACATAAATTTTAATAAGCCTATATTTTTACTTTTTAAGACCCACCCAGATTTGTAGCTGAAGATCTGGAAACATTTAAAACACCGGTGACTGTTAAAAAGGGTCACAAGGCCACCTTTAAACTGCCCTTTGTCGGCCGGGAACCAATCAAAGTACAGTGGTACTTGGAGGGAGAGGAGCTGTCCGACGATTCCAACATCAAGATTGAGCACACTGAAGGCTGCTCCCGCCTCCTTCTGACCAAACTCCAACGCAAAGACAGTGGTGAAGTTAAAATCAAACTGAAAAATGAGTTTGGCACAGTGGAAGCCTTGAGCGAACTCATTGTGCTAGGTATGTTATACACCAAATTTAAAAATGCCCTATTTTTTAGAAGTAGATTTATTTAGGCATTTACAAAATTTTATCTAACCTTGTGGTTTCCCTGAAATGAATTTCTCTTCTGTTTTGTTGATTAAAAAAACCAATGGACTACTATGGAGGAAACAAGTGTCATCTGAATAATAGTAGGCTGTGGGTATTCATTTAAGAACCAAGCAATGCAGGTTTAAAGTTTTCATTAAAGATATAAAAAGGTTAACATTTGTAGAACGTGTAATCATGTACCTTGCACCTAGGCTTACAATGTTTAAACCAATGAAAAAAAAAAACACTAGAGTTTCAGTTTAAAACCAGGCTGGTTCTGTATAGAAATTGTAAATACCTATTTTCTGATAGATAAGCCCACTCCACCAATGGGACCTCTGGAGATCGTTGAGGCCACCGCTTCTGTGATTGATTTCAAGTGGAGACCCCCAAAAGACAGTGGGGGCTGTAAAATTGACAATTACATCCTTGAACGAAACCAAGTCGGCCGTAACACATGGAAGAAACTGGGCCCCATCGGTCCTGAGGCCAAGTACAGGGATTCTGACGTAGACCACGGTAGGAGGTACTGCTATCGCATCAGGGTGGAGACGGAGATGGGAACCAGTGAACTGATGGAAACTGAGGATATTCAAGCAGGCACAAAAGGTAGGTTTTAGTTTTAATTTGATTTTGTTGTAGTGGACTCAAATCTATAAATGTATAATATCGTTTTATAGCTTATCCTGGACAGCCTTCAGCACCAAAAGTCGTCAGTGCTTTTAAGGATTGCATCAATCTGACTTGGTCTCCTCCCGCAAACACTGGGGGCACTAATATTTTGGGATACAACCTTGAAAAACGCAAGAAGGGCAGCAATCTGTGGAGTGCGGTGAATAAACCTGATGAGATGATCCGATCAGGTTTGTTTGTCATTATGTTCATACGGTATGCATTTTGTTCTGTTAATGGTGCACTACACTATGTAACTATGAGGACGGTCTATCACCTGCTTGCCTCATGGAGATGCTTTGTCTGCATTGTTAAGACAGTGTAGCATTAAAATTACCCATAATGCATTTATTCAATTACAGGTGTTTTCATGGCTCAAAAATATCTTTTTAAAAATACAAAGTCTATTAAAATTAAAATTAGTCTATTAATCTATAAATCAAAACAATTTCCAAAACCATCACAAATCCACAACAAGCATAAATCTTGCAATTATGTATGGGTAATCTGTCACCTCAAAATCCAAACATGTAAGTTAGCCAATGGGATTCTAGCTTGGGAGTGTGAAACCAGATTCAAATCACTGACAATAGAAGAAGAGATAGCTGGGACAGTGTACTGTAAGTTCATGTTTGGACTTAGCCTACAGAATGAATGAGAATGACTGAAATTCTGTTAACTTGTCTCCTCTTCTCCATCACAGCCAAGCTATGTCCTGTGAAAGATGTGGTTGAAGGAATGGAGTATGAGTTTAGAGTGGCTGCCATCAACAACTCTGGAGCAGGAGAGTTTAGCGTTCCATCTGAGTTTGTCTTTGCCAGAGACCCCAAAAGTAAGTGGAATAAAAATAAGTATATCCAAATTTGAGGTGGGAAATTATAAAAAATATATATAATAAAAAATAAATAAATAAATAAATAAAAATATATAAATTTATAAATATATTATAATTATGGTTTTTGACATATGCAAAATTAGAATATTGAGAATGTTGTCAACATTAAAACAACAATTTTAATTTCTGCACTTTCAGGTTTAATTTCCATTCATGATTAGTGCAATACTTGAATATCAACCAAGACATTTACAGGCGTGTGTAGGAGCATTTAACCATGTTATAATGGTGTCTCCTCATCATTAACCCATTTAAAAGTTGTATTTTGAGACTCTATTGGTCAGATGATTCCCTCTTTTCCCATAGATGCTCACTGGCCTGTGCAGCTGTGAGCTATCGAAAGTCAACACATCCATTTCTTTTATGAAGTTGTTTTATATTAATTTTTTAAAAGTCCAAAATATAAAATAACTATTGTATCTACGACGTGTCACGATTGTAACTATAGAGCAGAAAAAAGCATCACTGGTCTTTAAGCACATTTCAGATGGACTGCTATATTACTGTCTGAACATTGGGATAGTAAAAAAAAAAAAAAGCTTATAATTTAACATGTCATATGTTCCAGAGCCTCCTGGTAAGGTCCTTGATTTCAAAGTGACAGACTCCACCTACACAACACTGTCCCTGTCATGGACCAAACCCAAAGACATCGAGGGAGAGGAGGATGAAGCCAAGGGGTATTTTGTGGAAGTGAGACCTGCAGAAAACACAGACTGGGACCGCTGTAACACAAATGCTATCACCATGACATCCTACACTGTCAAAGGGCTCAAGTCTATGGGAATGTACTGGGTCAGAATCATAGCAACCAACGAAGGAGGAGATGGTTTGCCACAAGAGCTGGACAACTATATCTTAGCTATGCCACCACCAGGTAAGGAAATATCTAGACCAGGGGTGACAAACTCATTTTGGTTCAGGGGCTGTATCCAACCTACTTTGATCCCAAAAGGGCCGGATCAGAAAACTCATGGCATATATATACCCCAAAAATAGCAATAAGTTCAAATATTTGTGCAGAGAAACACAAATCTATTACAGAAATCTTTTAAATGATAAGCTCTTTCTTTTACAAAATATTATAATATTACAAACAACCTGAAACTTTAAGAAAAATGCAATTTCAACACAATGCTTAACATGAACTTGTATGTAAATAGGAATAAGTCAATTTTTCTTGGAAAATCCTGCACCCGGCGTCCACTTTCTCATTTTTGACATTTTTCTGATGAGGGTGTCACGGTCAACAGTCAAAACGATCGTCCTTTAAGAGCGTTTGGAAAGAGACAAGTCTTCATTTGTGCTGCTCTGGTGGGAGGGGCCACGTACAGAGACACTGGAGACACTACTATGCTGAGCGGCACAGAAAATTACCAATATTTTAATAGAAAATATAGTAGAAAATCAGCCGAGGGTCAGATTAAAGGTCTTGGAGGGCAGAATCTGGCCCCCAGGCCATATGTTTGACATCCCTGATCTAGAGCTATTCAATTGCCAAACTACTGACCAAAAGCCTCACATCTGTCTTTTTTCTGATCTAGTGAGACCAAGATTCACAGATGCAAAAATCAAGAGTTTTATGATTGTAAGGGCTGGAAATTCTGCAAGATTCAATATCAATTTTGAGGTAATGTATGCTTTATACTTTTTGAAAATGAATTGGGTTTTTTTCTGAATTAATTTTGAATTTCTAGATCCAGAATACAAATTATTTTGAGAAGACAGTTAACCTTTATATTCTCAATCACTGCATAATTAGATAATATAATTTTATATTGTTAATGATTTAATAGGCTTCCCCTTGGCCTGAGGTTACCTGGCTCAAAGATGGGGTCCCTGTGTCCAAGAAAGTGACCATCAGTAATGCAGAGGGCATGTCCCAGCTGCTTATCCCATCTGCCGAGCGCTCTGATACTGGCATCTACACCATCGTCGTCAAAAACATCGTCGGACAAGAAACTTTCAGCATTGAAATTAGAGTCACAGGTAACTTGGGTTAGATCCGACTGAGCAAGGACAAAGTGCTACATGCTGGAACACTCAAACGAGGCTCGTGTAATGTGGTGTTACGTGTAATTACAGATGAGCCCAAGCCACCAGGCCCAGTGGATCTTGATGAAAATGTACCAGGAACTGTCACTATTTCCTGGTCTGCATCTCCTGATGAGAAGAAAGATGACCGGCTGCACTACATGGTGACCAAACGGGACTCACACAAAAGACAGTGGCACACAGTGGCCGACCGAATCTTCAACAACAAATTCACAGCCTGCAACATCATGCCGGGCCGAGAGTACCAGTTCAGAGTCTATGCAAAAAATGACATGGGCTCTTCAAAACCATCTGAGTCTACAAAGTGGCTTATTCCAGCTAAAAAGGGTGTGCATTATATCATATATAATATTTAATGTGACTATTTTTATGCACTTCTAAGGTGTAAGATCTGCTACTTGCTTGTCTCCATGGAGATGTTATTTCTTTGCCTGGAATATTCCACAATAGGGAATTAAACATATGTATTTGTTCAATTATGGTGTTTTATAGCTCAACAATACATGGCTTGCTTCTCCATAGGTCTGACAATTAACTTGTCTCCATTGTGATTCTCCAAGTTTATTTCCATACTGTAGAATAATCAAGGCAAAACAGTAATATCTCCATGGAAAGAAGCAAGTGGTGGACTCACTACCAGAAAAGTTACACAGTGCACCTTTTAAAAAAAAGTTAATAATGCATATCAAATGTAACAGCAACGGTAGTAAAACATGTCTGCTTTTCTTTTCCAGAGAAGTTCACCGTGAACCTGCCTGAATCAAAGTCCTGTGATCTCCAGTGCATGCCTAAATTTATTATGCCTCTGAAGATGCATGCAGCTCCCCAAGGCTATGAGTGCTACATGAGCTGTGCCATTAAAGGAGACCCCACACCCCACGTCACCTGGTATAGGAATAACATCAGCCTCAACACCAACACCAACTACTTCATCTCCAACACCTGTGGAGTGTGCTCCATGCTCATCCTGCGGGTGGGGCCCAAAGACAGCGGGGAGTACAAGATCGTGGCTGAAAACCCTCTGGGCCGGGCAGAGTGCACAACTAAACTCACTGTCAGAGGTGAGCATAATAACAACATTAGCATTAGCACATACTAGCTTATTGGTAGCTCTAGCATTTTCATTAATGCCCTGCTGTTTTGTTTCCAGAATGATGAGTGGCAATTGAGGAATGGCTCTCTATCCAAGATTTTGTTGAGTGATATGCTATTGAAAGTTGTGCCCTTGTGATTGTGTGCCTGCTGCCTATATCTTGTGCTCATATTTCACAAGAGCTTAACCAAAGATGAAAGTACTGAAAAAGCCAAAGTAAAAGTACTGATTACTTTTGAAAAGCAAATGTGTGAATTTAATAATGATGTGAGAGCACAAGATATATTGGATGTTCAAAATGTGAATTATGTGTATGTTAGATTAAAATATATTAAAATGTATCCTGCATTTTACAAAAAATGCTTTGTTTTGGTAAAAGTATCTTCAGTAGGTATTACCATTATCATATTCAATTATCATATTAAGTGAACTATGTCATCTCATACAAGCTAAATGAACATGTTTTGCTACATTTTGGAGTGTACTTGAGTTTTCCAAAGCTGAAAGCTTTATGTCTTTTCATGTTGTGTTCTTGCTTTTGAATGACCACCATTTTTAATGTTGTGTCTGCTCATGGGGTCAAAATGACAATTTTAAATATTCTGCCACAAACAGGTCTTTTCAACATAAATGCTTTAAAAAGAAAAGTAGCACAATTCAAGGACATACATGCTTAGGTTTATGTCAATAATTTATGTGTGGTCTTGTTTAACGTGTCTGTGGGGTCAGACTCCAGTCCAAGTTTAGAGTCACTGAAGAAGAGCGGGTCAACTGTTGCACCCCAGGCTAAATCATGGCTGTCCAGAGGAGGATGACACCTCTCAATTTCAAAGACAAATGCTCAGATTATTGTTTAATAAACTCTGCAATGCAACAACTTCTGTCCTGGACTGCCCCTCATTAAATTCATCATGCACTTTAACATACCATACATTCTTAAGCATACACACATTTAATATATAATAACTGGTATTCATAAATTAATCCATTAAATGTTAAGTTTATCATGGTTAATACAAAATAAAATAAATCATCCAGCATTAAAACCTTACCTCGTCAGCCAATCTGTTTGTTGCCATGATAAGAATTAGGGAAATCATGATGAGCTCCTGGCACTTGTTCTAAGTCACATCTCTTGAGTCTTGGCTTTTAATACGAGTGGTCCTAAGCCCCCTGGTGCCGAAGTAAGGCTGAAATTCCAGTTTTGAGGGAGGGATTAGTTAGGTCAAATGCATGCATTTCTGTCTCTACCCCCTTTTTAAGAAGAGAAGCACACACACTGTGGGGGGCCAATGTACATGCTGGTAAGCCTATCCCATAGCCCCTCTGAAAAGCCCTGGGTTAAGTGACTGTCTCTGAAAGACTTTATTGCCTCTCAAAACTGTGAGAACACAGAAACAGCAGCACCCTGGCTGGCAACACGAAGTAGAGGAGAGGACTACTTCAAAGAGTAGTAAGTACATTTCTAACCAAACAAGGACAATTAGATTAAGTGAATTATTAAATGAATAATAATTCATGAATATTAGTAACTTTGATGCCTGATGTGCATGTGTGCTATAAAACTTCAATGTGTGTATTTGTTGAACTTTTACTGACCAAATATGGGAAAAAAGATTTGGCCTAACATAGTCTCTCAATACCTAACAGGAGTCGTATAATATAGTATTGTGGTGATTTTAAAGATGCAATTCAGAACACTAAAAAGGAGACTTTTTTATATGCTTTTACAGTGTGTAAAGTGTAGTCCATTGGAATACTGTTACATATGAACATATGTTCTTACACATTAGTCAAAGACCCACTCCCTAACATACATTGCATGCTATTTTAGAAGATGGGCTGCAAGATGGGCTGCATATTTTGAGAGTAGTAAAACAATTTTTAAATGCAGCTCCTTCAACAATGTACTTAATCAGAATAATTTTGCTTGATTAATAATAATTTAGATGTCTAGCCAGGATTATCCTTGAGGGTTTTCTTGAGGGTTTTTTTTTTCTCTGATGAGACAATAAAGCAAAAATGGATCAGGCCTCATAAAAAGATGTATGCTATTAACACAAAAATTGTGTTGTGTTTTTTTAAAATATATATACATAAAAATTACAAGATCATTAATTTCAGAAGAAATACTTCATACAAATATTAAAATGTGCATTTCATTTCATGTCACTATGATAACATGAAGAATGTTGCCAACATCACTTTAGTCCTTGTAAAAGCTTTAAGAGCTGAATAGAATTAAGCAGACACCGTGTCAACAGGTGCCAAGTGAAACCCACTCCCCCATACAGGCTGTGAAGTGTGAGGCATGTAACCTGAAGAGCTTCAGCTCATTCCCTAAAGTTGGGGTGGAAAAGTGGGACACAAATAAGTCACTTTTCACATTCATAGGGTAGTGATTTAACCAGCTAGTCTTTACACAGTGACTGCAGTACAGTACTAAAGTCACTTCAGGTATGTGACCGCCCCATCTGAAAAATTAGGCTGGAATTTAAAAAATGGCTCTGACGTATTTGGGACAGTTTCATTCCAGAATAGTTCAAAGTTCAAAACCTCAACTCTGAGCCCAAGTTTTATTATTACCAGTCAACTGAATACAATGAAAATATGTTAAATATGTTTATAAAATAAATTTATTATAATATTACTTCACAACTTTATTTTTCATTAACAGAGACAGTGGTGTTCCACCAAAGATGTTTAAAATACGTAAAACCAAGGAGGAGGAGCCTACGGCTCCAGGCCAGGGTAAGGGAACATTGTGGAAAACATTTAAATTGTTATGCTGTAATATTTAATCTTACTGGTGGTGTAACTGCATGTGTTGATGCTGACAGTGAGGATTAAGAAGAAGTCTCGAGTGCCTGGAGTGATGATCACACAGTTTGTGGAGACGCTCCCTGAGGGAATGAGCACCCCAGACTTTACCCGGAAACCCATTGCTCTGACTCTGCAGGAAGGTAACTCTCCACACTCTCCCAACAAACTCATGTGCTCTTCTCAAACAGTAGAAAAGTGAATGTCCTTTTTAGGCAAACAGGCTATTTTTAGGGCGATTATTACTGGAAACCCCACTCCAACTGTGACTTGGGCAAGAAATAATGGAGAGATTGATGAAGAGAATTACGTAATTGCCTTTGACAAAAGCACCGGTGAACACCAACTACAGGTTTGATTATTTGGCCTCACCATAAATCCAGGCTACGTAAAATTAAAATAAAAAGAACATGTTCCTATTGTACTGTAGTTGCCAGCTTTAACATCAGACCAGGCCGATACCTACAAGTGCTTCGCCAGAAATGAATATGGAACTGCTGTGGTCACAGCTACTCTCAATGTCATTGAAGGTACAATTCCTAATTCTGTAATAATCTATATGTGATATATTATGTGATACATTATAATATGATTATGTCATTTATCTCCTAACTACAGTGGGTTATAAGAAAAATAAAGCACTCCAAGCATCAAGGACAGGTACATCAACTCAATACTATGCATTGCAGTTATTGACAGTTACCAGTAGATGAATGCTATATCTCTGCTTCTGTCATAGCCATTCGGGAGTTGCCTGATGACTTCAAAAAGGGCTTGAGAAAGTAAGGAAAAAAACACTTTGGAACCACAAAATGGTTGTGGGTATATATAATTTTCACCATTTATTTTCCTCATTATTAAAGTGTGGAACTAGAGCCAAAAGAGGAGCCAAAACCAGAGATTGATGAAAAATTCTGGGAACTGTTGATGAGTGCGGATAAGAAGGACTATGAGAAGATTTGTGCCCAGTACGGTGTGACTGATTTTAGAGGTATGCTGAAGAAACTCAACGAAAAGAAAGAGGAGCGGCAGAAAGAGCAGGAGCGGGTACTGAAATATATTCAATAATAATCATCTATTTCATCTTCAGTACACATATGAACAAACACACTTTGATTCATTACAGGTGGTTGAGAGACTCTGCAACCTAAAGCCAGTCGAACTGAGAGATGATGGCAATGCAGAGTTTGAACTTGAAATGTCACTGAAAGACCCGACCAGCAAAATCTTCTTGTACAAGGTATACAAGTCATACGTAATGCTTTGAACAATTTTCATTATTTTAATTGTTATTAAAATCTTGTATATATATTTTATTTTTTATTTTTGTTTGAATAATTTCATGAATAATTGGTTTGATACACAGGATGGTGTCATGGTGCCTTTTGATGCAGACACTGAGATCAAACACGGGCTAAAACAAGTGGGAAAGAAGTTTGTATTCAGTATTAACGGAGTGAACCCTGAAGATGCAGGCTTGTATCAGGTGGAAGTGGATGGAATCAAGGTGTTCTCCACTGACTTGAAACGTAGGTTAACAGAATAAATACTGATCTGAACCTAGATTTAGGTGGTTACATTTTTGCATGCACTTTAGCACTCTGGAATATAACATTTTCTCATTACAAATGTTACACATCCAGCTGTGTGTTCTGTACAGTTCCAGGTGTAGAGTTCCTGGTGAAGATTCAAGATGTCCATGCAGAAGAAAGAGAAGATGCCATATTTGAGTGTGTTCTTTCTCAGCCCATGTCAAAAATCACCTGGATGGGGAACAACAAACCCCTGGAGCAAGGGGAGAAGTTTGACATCATGGTGTCCGAGGACATGCTAATCCATTCACTGTTGGTTAAAGACTGTTTCGCCCTGGACAAGGGAATTTACGTCGCTTCAGTGGGGGTCAAATCCTGCAATGCCTGGCTCATAGTTGAAGGTATTTGAATTATTATATCATCAAGAATATAAAAAAGCTTGAAATAAAATAATTTTCTAATCGATATGTGTGTTGTCATCTGCAATTTAAGATAGTTAGAATTGAGTGCTGTTTAGTGCTGCTCTATCTGTCTGTCTATCTATCTAACATTACATGAATATTATTTATTCCTTTAATAGTGGATCCAGATCCAAATAATCGTGGAAAGAAAAAAGCTCGCAAAAATACTCGTGCTGGAGGTGGCGGAGCCGACCTTCTGAGGATCGCACAGGAGCAGAATGCAAAGGTTCAAGCAGAGAGAGAAGTATTGATAGCTAAAGTTAAAGCTGAGGCTGAAGCTGCTGCCGCTGCAGCTGCCATCGCACAGGCTGAAGCTGAGGCCAAAGCTAAAGCTGAGGCTGAAGCTAAGGCTAAGGCTTTAGCTGAAGCTAAGGCTAAAAAGGCTCAAGCTAAGGCTAAAGCTAAAGCTGACGCTAAAGCTGCAGCAGGAGAGGGTAAAGAGAAGAAGGCAAAGAAAAAAGTTGAAGCAAAGGAGGGAGCTGAGCCCACAGGTGAGGAGGAGGAAGAAGATGAGGAATCAGAGGAAGAAGAAGAATTAGAGGAAGGAGAGGAACCTAAACCAAAAACTAAAACAAATGAGGGTGATGGTCCTGAGGGCGAGACTGCAGAGGCTGAAGAGGAAGCACCGGTTAAAGGCAAGAGGAAGAAGAAGAGGGCTGGTCCACTGGTGCCTGATACAGTTGTTGGTGAGAAACATGAGACAATACGGAAAGTCATAGTCACAATTCTTTTGATACTATGAAAAAATAATGTTCTTTATCTTTCAGAGGTTGGAGTATATTTCACATGTGGTTTGTCAGATGTAACTGCAATCATTGGGACTGACGCTGAGCTAGTGTGCAGACTCAATACTGAGGACTGTGATGGGGTCTGGTACAAAGAAGGCATAGAGGTAATAGCATATATAGAATTTTATGTTTGTCATCGCTACATCTTGAACCATTATGAACCATTATGAACTTCTGCTTTTAAGATTACTTCCACAGATAATCTATGTATAGTTAAAGATGGAACTTATCGTAAGCTTATTGTGAAAAATTGCAAAGAGGAAGACGCTGGAAAGTTCAAATATGAAGCTGATGGACGCAAAACTGAAGCTTTGCTCAAAGTTGAAGGTGCACACTTTTCCAAATATTTATCTAAATATTCAAATTTTAAAAATTCATTTTAAACAATCACTATGCATCTCTGTACATCTCCTATAAACAGATCCACCCAGATTCAACCCTGAAGAACTTGAGGAATACAAAAAACCTGTGGTAATCAAAACTGGGAAAGGGGCATCTTTTGAAGTCTCCTTTGTCGGCCGAGAGCCCTTAAAAATCCAGTGGTTCAATGAAGGAGAGGAGCTGATTGAAGACTCACACACTAAAATTGAAAAGTCTAGCACACACACACGCCTTGTTTTAACAAAGTGTAATCGCAAAATCTCTGGAGAAATTAAAGTTAAGATTAAAAATGAATGTGGAGTTACTGAAGCAACCACCAATCTGCTTGTATTGGGTAAGTTTTTTCACAAAGCCTGTTCTATAGACCATAGGTGCACGTTATCTTACTCTATGGTTATTACAGATAAGCCTACGCCACCCATGGGACCAGTGGATATCATCGAAAGTTCCTCCACTCTCATTGAGTTCAAATGGAGGCCTCCCAAAGATAATGGTGGATCTCCCATCACTGATTACATCCTTGAACGACAGCAGATTGGCAGAAATAGCTGGAAAAAGTTAGGAAAGATCGGCCCAGAACCTAAATACAAAGATATGGATGTTGATCATGGTAGAAAGTACTGCTACCACATTAGAGCAGAGACTGACCAGGGTGTAAGTGAAATGATAGAGACAGATGACATTCAGGCCGGGACAAAAGGTGAGTTAAGGTCACTCCTAAGCTACACCTAAGTGATTATTTCTATTGTACATTTATTTTTTTATATACATTTCTAATCAAATTTCTAATCAAAGAAATATGGTGAATGAATGTTTCCAGAAAGGAAATGTTTTTAGATATGTATTTCTATAATTGAAAATCATAAATTATATATCATTTTTTGACCATTTGAGTTGGTAATGATGCTGTCTTTGATATACAAAGGTCTTTAGGCATGTCTTTCAGAATCTGTATAGTTCAGTTAACAATTTCAGCTATCAAAATACAATTAAATACTTGTCATTCTGATTAACTGTTGCAGTCTTATGCCAAATCATTATTCATTGAACTATTATCTTGGTTATATAATCCAATGTAGCATACCCTGGAGCTCCTTCTACACCAAAGATTGTCAGTGCTTTTAAAGACTGTATCAATCTTGCTTGGAATGCACCTTCTAATACGGGAGGCACTGACATTTTGGGATATAATGTGGAGAAACGCAGGAATGGAAGTAACCGGTGGGATCAAGTCAACCCTCCCAATCAGCTCATCAGAGGTTAATGTGTTTATTTTTGTTTATATTTAGCTTTTTCATACATTTTAGATTTTACATAAATTAATAATGTTTTTTATGTTCTCTTATACTTCATTTCAACAGAAAAGAATTATGGTGTGAAGGACGTTGTGGAGGGCTTTGAGTATGAGTTCCGTGTGTCTGCTGTGAACATTTCTGGAGCCGGGGAGCCAAGCACACCTTCAGAATTCGTATTTGCAAGAGACCCTAAAAGTAAGTAATAATAAGTTTATTATTAAACAAAAAATATTAAAAATTATAAAATCTCATACTAGTCTATCTTGATTTTCATTCAGTTTTATGGTTTCTTATTAAAAAACAACAACAACAACAACAAAAAAAACAACATGAATAAAAACAAGGCCATCCTTTTAATTACACATCTAGTACCACCTAACACACAAAGCTATCCAATTTACCTGTCCAAACTATGAACTCTGCTTCCAAAACATGCTTTTAAAGCAACAAGATTGACTGTAGACCATGTTGATATACCCAAAAAAACTAATAAATAAAATAACCAGGCCAATAATTTCTATGCTTGAAAAATTTGGTTTCAGTTTGATTAATTATTCAGCCAATTAAATTTGTTACACATTATGAATATTTTAACTCTGTAGACTGGGAGGTGAATGGTTTAGTAAGATAATTCAGAGCATACGCAGAAAGTAAATAAGAAAGTTTCAGTTCTTTTTTCTAATCTCAGTGTTTGGTCTTTACATTCATTACTTTCCAGAGCCTCCAGGAAAAGTCATTGACCTGAAGGTGACAGACTCCACATACACTACTCTTTCTCTGGGATGGACTAAACCCATAGAGGATGAAGGTGTCCAGGATGAAGCTAAAGGCTACTTTGTGGAGCTGAGACCGGCAGAAAACCCAGAGTGGAGCCGTTGTAACTCCAGTGCTATCATCGTGACCTCCTACACCATCATGGGCCTAAAGTCCATGGCCATGTACTGGGTCAGAGTAGTGGCCACTAATGAAGGTGGAGATGGAGAAGCTCAGGAGCTGGACAACTACATCATTGCAATGCCACCACCTGGTAAGTAATACTGGTCGATAAGCAATAGATCAGTTATAATACTACAACTACCAATAGGTAAATAGAGAAATAAATGTTACATGTGTGAGATGGGCAAAACAGGGGTATTCATTTTTGAGAAGCTTAAAAAAAAAGTGCAACAATAAAAAAAAAGGGGGGGGTACATTTCAGGCGCACGTTTGATGCCTCATAGTTTTAGCTTCTATTACCGGTAAATCACTTCTCTCTTGTTTTTCCAAAAAATGAAGCAAAAACAGGACAATTAACATTCTCAACTGGTTTACAGTTTATGGTATCAAAAATCATACACCTATAGTAATATTAGGACTACATTATGTGGGAATACAATAGTGGTCACTATTTTTTGTTTACAAAAGCAACATTAATTTGCAATAATTTGCACCAAGTCTAAAATGTATCTGTCCTTCAACAGTGAGACCTCAGCTTACAGACAGAAAAATCAAGAATTTTATGGTCATGAAAGCAGGAAATTCCGTGCGAGTCAACTACAATTTTGTGGTTTGAACGAAACTTTTTAACATCTACATTCACTGAACTTAACAAGGTTATATCAGACTAGAAACTTTCTTTTTTCATGTTCTGGTTTTCAGGCCTCTCCATTACCAAGAATCACTTGGCTTAAAGACAGCCTTCCTGTGGGCAAAAATGTGACCGTGAGCAATTCTGATACATCGTCACAGTTAATCATCGCCTCTGCTGAACGCCACGACACCGGCATTTACACCCTTATACTGAAAAACCTGGTGGGCCAAGAAACCACCAGTGTGGAGATAAGAGTAACTGGTACAGTCCCTTTATTTGAAATATCACTCCCAAATTTTCATATCTAACATACTGATTATACTGTGCAGATGAACCGAAGCCTCCAGGCCCAGTGGAGCTGGAGGAGAATGTTTCAGGAACAGTGACCATCTCCTGGGCTGCATCTCCAGATGAGAAGAAGGACGACCGTCTACATTACATGATCACTAAGAGGGATTCTGTGAAGCGTACATGGCAAATCGTGGCTGATCATCTCTTCAATAACAAATTCACAGTCATCAATATCATGCCAGGAAGAGAGTATTATTTCAGGATATATGCCAAGAATGACATGGGAGAGTCCAAACCCAGCGAGTCACCTGTCTGGGAGGTCAAGAGAAAGAAGGGTATGCTACATAACAAGCATGATTAAAGAGAAGAAGAGACAAATATTTTAATATAATTGTTTCTTCGTAATATACACTGGCCTAAGATTAGATGCCATTAATATAGAGTAAGGTTAAATACACAAGAACATTACTAATCAAGTGTGTTATCCCACATCCTGAATCCTGAAGAATTAAGGGATTTGAATAAAGGGACACCCAGGGGTAATTAGACAAATAGTACTGTCTCTAAGTTAATGTGGTTGTGCATACTATGAATTGTAGGTCTACAAATCCAATGTTACACCTCAAAAACATTAATTTGGTTATGTTTTCTTTTGAATCATCCTTTCAGAAATCTTCTCGTTAAACTACGAGGAGTCTAAGGACTGCTGTTTCGAGGCTCCTCCACAGTTCAGTGTTCCTCTGAAAACACACCACAGTCCAGAGAGCTATGAGTGCTACATTAGCTGCGCAGTGACAGGAAACCCCAAACCCCATGTGACCTGGTACCGGAACAACGTCAGCCTCAACACCAACACCAACTACTACATCACCAACACATGCGGGGTCTGCTCCATGGTCATCCTCAAAGTCAGCTCAAAAGACAGTGGCGACTATACTGTCATTGCAGAAAACAACTTGGGCAGAGTGGAGTGCTCAGCTAAACTTGTGGTAGACGGTAAATAGAAGTAAAAAGTGCATTCTCTATGTGACTTTTTTCTGGTGGATGATCTGCCAAGTAAGTAATATAATATGGGACAGATAGTTAAGTTTAATGCCATACTGTGAAACATTCCAGGCAAAGCAAACAAATCTCCATGCGTACAAGAAGGTTCTGGACCGCCCACCAGAAAAGTTACAGAGTGCACCTTTAAGAAGCACCTATTTTATTTATTTATTTATTTATTTTTTTCATGTTTTGATTATTTTATTTTGTTTTTCAGACTGAGAAGATCCAGGAATTGTTGAATTGCTGCATGTGCCCAAATAAAATGTAATATGATTCAAATGCGTATTGTAGGTTGTTTGAATTGTTTCATATTGATTATTATAAATATGTCCAGAAAGCATAGAACTCTATAGTCAAGAACAGACAAAAGCACTTTGACAAAGGAGAATAAACCTTGCCTTTAAAGATTATATATGTAACTAAAATAGTTTTTGTCATTTATTCAGTGTCTTGTCAATGTCGTGGTTCTAACTCACTGCATGCATATAATATTAGGTGCCATAAAAAGAGATTTGGTCACGAAGAGAAATAAAAAAAACTTAAAATGAAATAATAATTGACCAATTTGTCTTATTTCTTAATACAATAACTATATAACAATTTAGTGTATAATGAGGCAGAGAGTATGGGAAATCTGTGGTGGAATAGGAAACAGAGGTTAGCATATATCCATCAATCAAATGTCCAACTCTTAAATATAAGACACAGAATCATGTCAAGGACAAAGCCAAATTTGTTATCAAAGTATAGGGCCAGTCACTTTGCTGTTTCTTCTAAATCAGCCTTTCAAGTTACAATATATTATTTGAATCAGTTGGTAGCTCTGTTTTGTACTGTGTGCGGCTGCATTGTGCCTGTGGCGAAAAAGTCATTGTATAAACAATGTTAAATTCTGAAATGTGACTGGGCTCAAATGAAGCATGTCTAAAAATAGTCTGAATCACTCTGAGCCCTCATTAAAAGTAGGGTGCAGACATGATGAGACAGTAATCAATACAACTGGATTTGTGTGATTACAATGACAGTTACAGGCATATAAAGCCTTCAGTAAAACTGAACTTTAAATAGTAACATCCAGCTTTTAAGAAAAGTGTTGAGTTTATGCCATACCCAGACCAGACCCAGGCATTTACTGAACTATCTATTATGCTTCTTTACATTCACAACTTCCGATGAGCAAACCCAACATGGGTTCACATGTCTCACTGACTGCTCATGAGGAAGGTTAAAACAGGTACATGACTAAGAGCATGTGCACTTAGTCATGCACCTTAGTCATTATGTGCATGCATTACATAGTATGCATAGTCCTCAGACACACATGCCAATGCAGTGAATACTGCACAGCCATCTGTCAAATAGTATTAAGGATATTGGAAAGTGAAAGTAATAAGTTGTTTAATTTACTAAGTGATTACTTTTATGGAGAGTTTCTAAGGTAGTCATCTTGAAAATTTTTGTTAAATGTTTGCAGTAAAAGTTGTTTTCCTAAACTACAAAGAATGAAAGTCAGATACAGCCTTAGATTAATGTGGAAAACAACCAAACAATCAAAACTTTACAGATGGCATGCTGCCATCTATATCCATATTTGTTGGCGGTGAGGTCCAGATTTGTGTACCTTAACCTTAAACATTAATGCTACTTTTTATATTTCATATTATTTTTTAACTCATCTACTCATTACTGGGCATGACGGTATAGCCTGCTCTCAACAGAAGTGACCCCTGAGAGTAGATTCTTCAGAGAACATCATGCCTCTCACATGAGCCCTTCACATGAGCTCATTCCTGAGCACAGCTCAGCTCCTGTACCATACATTACCTTTTATTACCCAGCGTGAAATAGTCACACTGTCTCCGTGCTCTGAGTGCCCACTGCACATTTGTTGATGATGGCTGTGTGCCTTAGAACGAACGAAAAGCAACCGCAAATCAGACTTTAGAAACTTCCGGGAGGTGATACGAGGGTGCAAAGCATGACTGGTAATTTTCAGGTGGTCAAATGTGTCTTGGATAACATGCACAAGTGCCCCTGCTCTGCCAGCTGATGCCTGAACCACAAAAGCATTGGATTTAGTTTTAGCATGTACCTCAACAACCATATTTCTTTTTTTAATTTATGGAAAACTACATTCTGCTTTTTCCCCACATTAAATTATAATGACTAATTTGCATGTTAGTTTATTTTTCCTGCTTACAGTCACAAATCTTAAATTAATTGTGGGTGAGCTGGGGAAGAGGGGGGTGGCATGAGGTTCAGGAAAATTGTTGGGGGGCATACAATTCTACGGTACAGTAAGATAAATAGCTGATATTAAATTGCCATGGCTGCACAATCTGTTACCTGCAGATATGTATAATATGCATGTGGCTATTTCCAGGTATAGCGATTAAACTAACCATTTACCAAATTACACTGACAATCCATTTGGATAATTTACATTTAAATTAGTTTCAGGTACAGTCAATATAAAAAATACAGAGTTCAATTGTGAATAGATTATATAAACCTATATAGACAGAAATTACACAATACTGAGGTCCATGACCAAATTAAGCAATTCAAACAGAACAAACTTTTGATTGAATATCTGAGAAAAACTTAACTGTGCAAAGTTCTTTGTTTTTCAAAGGACCTTGGTGATAACAGTTGTTTAGGTGGATAATGTTTGCACATTCTATTCCTGTTAAAACACCCAATAAACACATGTATTTTTGGGCCGCCATGAACAGAACTTATAACAGCTTCTTAACATGTGAAAAGCTCTTTGAGGATCCCATATGGACTGTCAACAAGAAGCACCAAGAAGTCTGCCAATCAGCATAAGTTCATTGGGCTAAAATGCACAAACACACACATGAACACAATAGTGAAAAGTTGTAATACTGTAGAAAAAGCTAAAAATATATATATATATTGATGTAATGAAAGTTAATACTCATTAACATTAAAAAAACTTACATTTTACTCATTTATTTACAAATTTTATAAATGTTGTTATAATGACTAATTTTGATGGCAGCCATATCTCTGAGGAAGCAAATCAGTCAATCATAGTAACTTTTTTTTTTGTTTGTTTTCCCCCAGAGGGAAATTTAAGTGTATTGAGCAGCAAAAATACAAAAAAGGTCCACTGTACATGTTGAGCACTTCAGGGTCCCCCTCCTCCCACTTAACACTTTTGATTTATGCCCAAAAACAAAAAAGCAGGCACCAGTCGAATGGTGTCTTGAGCCTGTCACAGTCACTGGCATTCCTCTGAGGACTTCATAGGTTGTTGACGAGAGAGGTAGCACACACAGACTGCTGGAGACTGAGGAGAGGCACCAACGGCAGCAGGCACAGATCAAGGTAAGCCCATCATCTGCATCTAGGTGTTAAGGATTTGAAGCTTTGTCACTATACGGCCAATGCACTGAAATCAAGTCCAATCCTGAAGATGTGGCAAACTGTTGGAGAAGTTGATAAGTTGATCATGTTGCTGTTACTTGACTATGGATTTCATCAGATCCATCATTCAGTTTCTAACAAGTTAACACACCAACAAGTGGCTTCAATTTAGAGGCAAAGTGCTATTGATAGGAAAATTCAAATTAATGTAGAAATTAAATAATTGTTTTTCTTTTCTTTTCTTTTCTTTCCTTTTTTTTTTTTTTTTTTTTAGCTTTGCGTTAATCTCTTTCCAAGGATGTTACAAAAATATTAGATCAAACATGACATGGTTGTACATGCTGATCAAATCATTTAATATTTATGTTTATTTATTTTGTTGAACTTATTTTTTGTTCCAATTCTATGCAATATGCAATATGAAAAATATAAAGTAGTTGTTGTTGTTTTCTTTAATTGGTTGCTTTAATTTGTTCAATGTGACTCAATTAGGAGTTAAGTGAACACATTGGTAATAAGTTATATAAAGCCAAGGGGTGCTACCCGGTATCTCCCTCATCCACATCAGCTACCCGAGATAGCCACTCCCTTTCTTAACATGGCCTTAGCAGTGTCCCCCTTTTAATCATTTTTATGATGCTCTCTGGCTCAGTCTCCGGGTATACAGTCCCATGATATATTTCAGCACTGGTCAAAAAAGCAGCTGCTAGCGTTAACTGTAGCATGCAGTGAGAGCCACATGAAACCCATAAAAAAAAACTCTCACAGCAAGGGGGCCACCACAGAGCACCACAAATGAGCCAAGTACACGGTGCAGAAGTCTTAATACTAAGTGATTCGATTACAGTATTTAATGATGACAAAGTAATAGCAGTTAACAGTGAAGAGGTATGTTGTTAAACTTTTGAGTTCTTTTTAAAGCCTTACATAGGCCCTAGATGGTACCATGCAATAAGCAATACAGCAATATTACTAGAAGTAATAGCATCTGATGGCATGTTTTATCTCAACACAAATTTTTCCAGAGTCAGGCATTCTCCACAATGTGAAAATTATTACGTGTCAAAATTTGTTTAGGCAAAGACAACCACAAGAACAAGTTTTTCTACGGTGATTCATTTCCATGATGGCAAGAATCCATCTCAGGGAGACATGATGTCAGCAGTGATTTACAGGCACATTAAGATGTCCAAATAGGCTCTTCTCAGTTGAATGTGGCATGTGACCTATCAGGTGACAATCTTGTTTTCTCATCTTTCAACAGAGCAGAGGGATGTCATGTGGCTAGTACTGGGTCTCACCAAAAACGACAGAAACACAACTGAGGAATAGGGTCCTGATCTTTTTTGATTGTTTGATATATTTAGGTCACAAGTAAATGTTATTTGGTTTGAAAAAATGAATATTAGTGAATATTAGAAAAAACATTAATTAATTTGAATCTGAAATGGCAGTCTTATAATGCATTAACAGGAGATTAAGAGATAAACACTACCATTACTGTAAACCCTCCTAAAATCTTACCAGACAAAATTTGTTACAATTACACATTTAAGCAGTCTATTTTTAAGTGGCATTCATCTTTCTAAGTTTAGCCGCCACGTGGGTAATGAAAGATTGATATGTACAAGTCATGGCTTCCTGCTGTGAATGGAAGTGTCAGATCATAAAAAGGTTCATTTGGTAAGGACCAGATTATGTAAGACATTTAGGCAATGTTACGCTATCAGAACATAATGTGCAAGATGTGATATGTCAGATCTAATTTTAAAAGATTTTTTACTTTAGAGTAAAATTAGGAAGCCTTATGCAGGCAACATGTACATACTGTACATATGTATTAAAAATAGAATAATGAGATAGACTGCACATTAGACTGCACACATAAGTAAATACTGTATATGGGTTTTTGAAAAACAAAATAAAATAGGTGGGAATCTGTTCAAAATCTCTAAGTGACACCCTGTCTGTATTCTTTTAAACAGTTTGCTGAGACCATCTGTGAATAAAAGGTGGCAAGATGTTTCGTAAATCTAAAGTAACAGATGGGACGTCTGTGGGCCAAGGTAAGCAGCGAAGTGTGACTTCATTTAAAGTAAAAATGGTCCTTAACACATGTTCATTACATTGATAAATGGTTTCTTGTCTGCATTTTCAAAATTCACTAGGGACAATAAATTAAAGGTGACTCAGAATTGTGTATATCAAGAGTCAATGTTTTACACCTATAGTCACCTGTATCAGCACTGCAGTAATGTTAAATATTTAATGAGTGAGGCTGAGAGCTGCATTTTAGTGACAGTGCAGCTTTTATGCCCTGGGGGACTGTCATCCATCATGGCCTTAATAGATCCAATTTGGGTATGTGTCTAGAAAAACAAACATTAACACATAATTCGTTTTGATAGACAGCTGAAGTATGATTGTGTAAACAAGTAGAAAATAAATAAGCTCTGTTGTGTGTCCTCATAAACACTAAAAACATGCACAATAGATACCCAATATTAACCAATAACAAAGTAGGGACTGGGAATGGCATTTTTTCTCCCAACTTATTACAGATTTTATCCAATTATGTTATTTATCCTGAAGTAACTACTGAACAGTTTTGTAATATTATTACATCAAATTAAAAGGCTCATCTAGGATATCGATCCAATATCTGATATCTGATACTGGTATAGGTCCATCCCTACTATAAACCAGATAAGATGGAAATGGGTTTTGGAACTTACAAATAATTACAAGAATCTCAATGGCAGTCCATAGACGTAGATTTTAACTATTAGAAATATAACTGTATCCCTGTTATGTCCATACAGCATTCAAGTAATGAATAACTACAACAATGTCATCTAACAACTCTGAATATGACACTGATGATAACACTGAAGGTTGTTCAGTTTTAGAGAAAAAAAGCATTCCTTCAACATGAAGAGTCACCCAAAAATATTACTTTAGATATTTTTGATATATATATATATATATATTATTATTATTTATTTTTATTTTTTTTAGCATATTAACACCATGATAATACTGTACAATGAAATTAGGATACATCTGTGTGTGCTAATGACTGTAATTTGGTTTTATAAACTGGTAGCAATTAGCTACACTGTTACTGAGCCACACTAGGCCTCTCATGATGAGACATGTTGACGATACAGTACATGATAATATTGGAACAAATTTATGCCACTGACAAAATAAACATAAAGCAGAATTATCCCCAACAAACTATTTGAAATGTAGAATATGGTTAAAAACTGTAATAAATAAGTAGCAGATTGAAAGTTAGTAGGTAGTTTATATCTATAATGAGTCATAGAAGTTTATTTATTCAACTCTCCATAGTTCAAATTTAATCGCAGTACAGAAAAATAACAAAAAGTTCCCTACTAGTGCTTCCACCATATATTATATTGATATAGTATTTCTTGTGACAGGCCTAAGCCCCACAACTAGTTCACATACAATATTTACCACTATCTACAACTATACATCTTGAACCTTAATTTACTTAGTTCATTTTTTGGCCGTCACATTATCATTAAGATCCTCATCTCCATACTCTGTGCTCACATGTACTGTATGCTCTTTAATATATGCCTTATCAGGTCCTGATCCAGAGATTTTCAGTGGTACAGAAGGTATGCCGAGGGAATTGGATAGCTCATCATTGATTTCTTTTTTCATAACTCTGCATGAAAAATAGATTTGCTTCAGATTAATGCATACAAATATGTGTACGTGGATATGTAGATACATCACTACATATCTGTTACGCAGGTGTAAAATGTAACATGATTTGATTGATGAAGTTTCTTTGCAACTGCCGCATTTTATCATAAAATGTGGAAAACAAGGCCGCCAGTAACAAAATACATTCTAATATATTATGATTAGAATGTTCTTGAGCGTGGTTTATGTGTCACTTTGACAAAAAGACAGCACACCGCATATACTGTAAATTTCTTATTTCAAATATCTAGTGTTTGACTTTTGTTGTTTATTTGTTCATAACTTGACAGTGGGGTTCAAGAAAAAGTCAAGGGTCCCTGGAGTGATGATTACACAGTTTATTGAGACACTGCCAGAGGGAAAGAGCCACCCAGATTTCACTCGTAAGCCAATTGCTTTGACTATCCAAGAGGGTAAGTGAGAAACAATGGTAGCAGCACTTAAACCCAACATGATCCAGAGTACTTACTTTGATCTTTCTGTTTTTGTGTCTGTGCTCTCAGGGAAGTTTGCTTTTTTCAAAGCCATTGTCACTGGAGACCCAAAACCCACTGTGTCATGGACTCGGAATAATGGAAGCGTCGCTGATGAGTCAAGATACCAAACAAAATATGATCCAAACTCCAATGAGCATACATTTGAGGCAAGTAATTTCACCAAGATTCTGTGAAACTGAAATTCAGTATAAGAAGTTTTTTACCTTTGTGAGTGGTCAATAACAATTTTAATTTCAAGAAGTACTCACAGCGTACCTTCTAACATAATCTATAACTATGTAAATATTGAAAGGTTGATCTTATTTTTGCTGCTTTGTTCCATTTAATTATTTTATTTGATTCTTGGAAAATAACTTAGATTTTAAAATTATTTATACAAAAATATAGACATATATTTAAAAGTAAAAAAAATATCTAAAACATTTAAATAGGGTTAATGTTTCATTATTTTTATCCTAAATGTTCCAAATGTATCATCACAAACCAGCACTAACCCTGGTTTTGCTACTACAAAAAAAAAAAAATTACACTGACTGATACTGGGCTCTCGCCAACCAACTGTGATAAAACCCACTGAAATAAATATGATCAGCGGTAAAATGAAGACTGCATACGTATGTGCTGTTTGGAATCATCTCTTCTAATCGCATGTACCCAGAACGCTCGGAGTTGTGTGTCAGTGGGGAAATGATGAACGATGGTTGTAACTGTTGATTAGGCGAACATAACGGAACACCACAGTGACATGTAGAGAAAGAAAACTGGGCCTGGGAAGTTCTAATTGTTTGTGATGTAAGTGTGAATAGAGCCTATAAGATATCAATGGATTAAAGATATCATTACAAACTCCCCACTGGTATTATCTGTCTTTCTTGTAAATAGGCCAGTTAGAGAAGTCTATTAATTGTTGTTTGGAACAGATGCCTAATGTAAAGCCGGATCAAGCAGATACATACAAATGCATTGCCATAAATGAGTATGGGCAGGCCTTCGTCACAGTGATTCTGAATGTAATTGAAGGTAAGCGGAGCCGGGCAGAGTGATACTATCTTTCTTAAAGTGCTTCATAGTTTATAATCCACTTATCCTTCTTGATCAGCTCATCATCTTACATAAGTGCATAATTATAACAATATGTTCCCCTCTTCATGCTCTTAGTTGGTTTTAAAAAGGCAAAGGCTCCAGAACCAGCTCCAAATGCTACTGATGGGAATTTCAAGACTGTCCTTAGAAAGAGGTAAATCATTTCTGTACTTGAGTGTGGCACGTATACATTTGTACTGACTTTTAAAAGTATATTATATTTATTTTGTAGCAAGATCCGCCCCAAATCTGAGCAGACTGAAAAAAAGGAAGGAGAAATTGACCCTAAGTTTTGGGAGCTCCTGATGAGTGCTGACAAGAAGGACTATGAGAGCATCTGCGCAGAGTTTGGAGTCACAGACTTTCGTTGGATGCTCAAGAAACTGAATGAAATGAAAAAAGAAAGAGAAGAAGAACAGGCCACGGTTTGGCATTTACAACTGTTACAGAGATTCAAGTGAACAAGCAATGTTTTTCGATGATACACTGTTAAATGTATGTGTGTTCCACAGTTTGTAAAAAATCTGTCCAACCTGAAGCCAATTAGTGTTAATTCAGACGGCTGTGCATCCTTTGAGCTTGACATGGATCTGCTTGAACCAAGCAGCCACATTTATATTTACAAGGTAAATTTACTAAGTACTTTCCACAAACAGTAAAGTCAGATCAAACCTTTACTCAGAATGTTTAACTAGCAAAATAAAGACAAACAATAAAAATTACTTTAGCTCCAAATTTGAGTGCTAAATAATGAAAGCATAAAGTAAAAAAAAAAAAAAAAGTACAAAAATACTGCCTCAGAGGACAAACGGGATACAACATTATTTGACATTTGACATTACTCAAGGGTTATGAAACAAACATATAAACCAACAAGAATTAAAAGTATATATATTTATGTTTTATACCTTGGAATGTGAGTGCAGCTTAACCAGTAACAAGAGAAGTACTCACCTCACTTTGCTTTCATGTTCAACAGGATGGTGAGATGATCCCATACACAAAGGAGCTGGGAGAGAAGATGAAGCACAGCCTGAAACAAATAGGACGAAAATATGTATTTAGTATGAAGGACCTGCTGCCCGACGACGCTGGACTGTATCAGCTGGATGTGGAGGGAGTCACTATGTTCTCCACAGAATTCAAAGGTAGGTCTTCTGCCACCACATAATGACAAACTATACAGTAAGAATACCAGTTCTGATTTTTAATATGTGTTTCTAGTACCTATGGTGGATTTCTTGGTGAAGATTCAAGAAGTGAAAGCGATGGAGAGAGAAGATGCCGTTTTTGAATGTGTGCTATCGAACCCATTTTCAAAGATTAATTGGTTTGGTAAAAATTCGCCACTGGAGCAAGGAGAGAAATTTGATATTGAAGTTTCTGAAGACAAGCTCATTCACAGACTGGTGGTCAAAGACTGCGTGCTCACAGATAAAGGAATATACTCTGCCTGCGCCGGTATTAAGAGCTGCAATGCCTTTCTTCTGGTAGAACGTAAGATATCAACTTTTACTTTATGTTGAGTGAGTAAATGATTTGACATCACAGCGATCTTGACTAAATAAAGATGCACAAATTATAACACAGATATTTTCCACCCTTAACAAAGAACTAATCTGAGATAATCTAATTTCCCTCTAAGTGATCACAGAGTTATGCTTAATCACTGCCTAGCTCTAATTATTATTACAACAACCTCTCCTTTCTGTACAGCGGATAAGGGACCAGGGAAGAAAGAGAGGAAGACTACAAGAGCAGGAGGATCAGGTGTGGACCTGCAAAAGGTGGCTCAGGAGCAACAAGCTAAACTGGAACAACAGTATGAGGAACGTAAAGAAGTGATCAAAGCAGCCCAAGAAGCTGCAGCGGCTGCACCGCCACCTGAGCCGCCTAAAGGTGAGACATTATCCATCATGTTCAAATGATATTTATATTGTTGTAATAAAACAGACAATCAGTAATGGAAGAGGCACAACAAGTCAATGTGAGACCAAGTAAAAGATGTCATTTTTAAATTATTCTACCATTTTTGAGACCGAACATAAACCATCCACTCCAAACTATTGAGAGTAGTTTAAAGAAGAAGTATTATGCTTTTGTCAGGTATTAATTATTAAGTGAAATATAACTTTGACTTTGAGCTAATGATGAAAAAAACATTTAACTTGAGTAAAAGGTCATAGAGTCAATTACATTGTATACCCTCTTTAAGCAGAACATTTACCTTTGAATGAGAAAAGTACCAATTCAAAGAAGAAAAACTGAAATAATGAAAGCAAGTGTAGGGCCTCTGCTGACATCTATTTTCTCTCTTTTAGTATGAATATATAGTAGTATCTATTGGGCAGTAGAATCTACGTTTTGTCCTATTTTTTTAGTATGCGTAGCCCTTATAGCCTTAAACAGCACTGCTTGTATTTACTTTTGAGATGCATGATTGTCAATAGATCTTATTGTTTGATAGAAGCTGAGCCAGAGCCAAAAGCAGCTCCGGAGCCATCTGTTGGTGAGATGAAAAATACATTGCAGTAATTAGAAGTAGCTTCAGAGCAATGAAGTCAACTGTCTTAATGTATTCATGTCAGTATATTTGTTGTAATGTCCATGTATTATATAGTTATCTAACATTGTATGAAATGTGGGAAATATGTTGTCTCAGTCAGTGACTTGCACCTGTCTTGCTCATGTTGTCTTTGTGCTTTATGTAATATCTTTTTGCAGGTAATGTCTCAAAAGGTGACACTTTCAATTGCGTAAATAATTACTTAATACTTAGTTGTACACAAGTACCAGTATTTCTGCATAGAGACTAGCTGCTATGGAGCGTCTTGGTGAAAACATTAACATTTCCCTGGTTTTTGTTGTTGCTGTCTGCCCACTCAGCCGGAGAGGCCAACAGTTCTCCAAATCAACCTGAAGAAGCAGTGGGTGGTATGAAGGACGTGGATTATATTAACAGATTAAATAAGCATTTATTAAACATACAGCTGCATTTTACTGTTGAAATAACATAATTAACTCAAATTAACTTGTGCGAAAACAAAAACACAACTAAATAAACATTTAATTTCGAATTAAATGTAATGGTGAGTAAACAAACTTAACAGGATCCAAACAAGGAAATGTATAAATAAACTTTCCTTGCAATATGTTGCATGTTCTAAGTCTTGGTGCTGGCTTTTAATGTCACAGCATGCTGCTTTTTATATACAAAGTGGTTATGTAGTATAACTAGTTCCTTTGTACATAACATCATTACAAAATACACAAACATACTCAAAAATGAATATTGTAGAAAACATGAACGTTTGTCATTAGTTTCATTCACACAGAGCAAAGAAACAAAATATGGCCATTACAAGAAAAATATATTGACATTTAAAACAGATAAATTTGTGCGACTGAAACATAAATAATTCACGTTCATGTTTTTGACAACGTTCTATTTTTGGAGAAGTGCATTTACTGCACTGGTGTTTCATTCTCCATCATTGCATCACCAAAAACATAAGGTTTATCATTAAATGTATGTGTAACAGACAGTAACTTTGTTTTATGTTGTTTAGAGCTTAACATCACCGGTGAACTCTCTGACACTTATGCTCTTCGAGGAAACCCACTTGAATTAACAGTGACGATGAACGTTGAATGTGACGGCACCTGGTTCAAAGATGGAGAACCGGTAAAATACAACATTACATTACAACATTCACAATGCTGAGCAAAAAAATGTAGGTGTGTTTTAAACAGATGTAAGGTCAACACAGATTTGCTGTTTTAATATCCTTACATTCTTTTTTTCTTTTTTTTTTTTTTAAAGATTTGTATTTTTCATTAATTGTTTGTGCATAAAATGTCTATTGTTTCGCTTTATTTGTACAGTTATCCTCTGGTGGTGGTATCACTATATTCAAAGAGGGACTGGCCCATAAAATACGGATTGCTAGCTGCCAAGATGATGACTCAGGAGTTTATCGATTTGTTACAGGAGAACTGAGTACGCAAGGAAAGGTCACAGTGGGAGGTAATCTTTACACTGGACTATAAATGAAAAAAAACAAAAAAACAAAAAACAATGTTATTACTAATAAACTAATTTCTTTGTTTTACTATTTTCAAGATGTACCTGAATTTGACCCAGATGAGCTTCATAAATTCTCCAAGCCTGTGGTGGTCCGTGTGGGTCAGAACGCAGCCTTTAAGATGCCCTTCCCGCCGCAGGAGGGACTGGTGGTCAGTTGGTTCAAGGATGGCACCGAAGTCAAAGATGGCGGCGGAGTGAAGATCGTCAGGGAGCCCAACCACAGTCGACTGCTTTTCAAAGACTGCCTTAGAACTGATGCAGGAGAAATCAAAATCCAGCTTAAAAACCCTTTTGGGGCAATAGAGGCAACATCTCGGCTTATTGTATTAGGTACGACATAGTGCAAGTTATGTCATGTAATTAAAGGTACTGTATGTAACCTCCAGGAGAAGGGTTATCATCTGCTTGTATACACCTAGATGTTATTGCCTTGTCTACAATGTTCCTCAGTATGGCATTAAACTTGATCTTGATGGAGACAAGCAGGTGACACCACCAAGTTACAGATCAGATCTGTGAAGAGGCGACCCTGACTCACAGTTAGAATGCATGTAGTTTCAAGCAAAAAAAATACTTGAAATTGAAGACATACATACACAACCACTGAGTGTTGAGTGAATGAATAATGAACTGTAAAGTGCTTTATCTTGAAAGGCGCTATATAAATGCAATGATTAATTAATTAATTAACATACAAAATATCTAACATAAATGCTATACTGAGTACCATTCCAAGCAAAGCAATAACATCTCCATGGGGGCAAGCAGGTAGAGGACCCCTCAAGAGAAAAATGGTATCGTGCACTTTTAATTATTCAATTGAAATGTGGGCCAAAGTGCTAAAATATATAAAGTTTAACATGACTAAGTAAGAAAATCATCCAAAAGACCCCAATTGTCTGGAATGTTTGACAATCACAGGCCTATTTGTAATTTTTGTCATTCCTAAAAATGAAAGAAAAAGAGAAAAAATCTCTAGGGTTTACTAAAAAGTAAACTCAATTCAATTTGATGTAGATAAATGCAGTAAACAGAAAAATAAGAATGAAAAATCACATCAGAGCAAACTATGATTACTTGTTTTGAGAAAGAAGAGGCATAAATCTTTGCCCTGCAGCTGTTCCCAAATGAAACTGTCACTTACAATAGAAGAGCTGTCATAACGCCCCTAATTAATTGTTGTATCAGATCGTCCCGGACCACCCGAGGGCCCCGTGGAGACTGTGGAAACCACCTCCACTGTGATCGAAATTAAATGGAACCCCCCGAAAGACGACGGTGGCTCACCGGTGACAAACTACATCATTGAGCGCCAACCCAACTGGCAGAGTCTGTGGACCAAACTGGGGGACGTCACTGCTGACAGAACCACCTTCAGAGACAGAAATGTGACTCATGGAAAAAAATACAACTACCGCATCTACGCCGAGAACCCCGAGGGCATAAGCGACCCACTAGAGTCAGATGACAGTATCATGGCAGGAGTACTGAGTGAGTCTTGAAAATAGGTGAAACCATTCACCATAAAGCCTCCTAATGGCTCTGAAGTACTTTTTTCAATTTTAGTGTATTAGAATTAGAAGATACAATTTTTATGAACTCTCAACTTCATAAGAATCCTTACTAGGGCTGCGTGATATTAAAAAGTATTGCAATATGTGAGATGGCAGCTAAGTACTGCTTATATTAATGATTTTTTTTTTTTTTGCTATACCAACTACTGCAAATTTTGTAATGTTAATAATTTTGTGATATCCTGGGCAGCTCTGACTCTGACATTGACTTAAAGTAGAAATGTACATGTAGCAGAGGAACACATAATAATACATTCTATTTACATTATTGTCTGCTATGTGAACAAACCTGTTTTCCTCTTCAGTCCTCTCTGGTCCTCCTGGAGCCCCTCAAATCGTGAGTGCCTCCAAGACATGCATCCATCTGACCTGGACCCCCCCTGAGGACACACGGGGAGTGCCCATTGTGGGGTACCTGCTGGAGAAAAGGAAGAAAGACACCAATCAGTGGGTCGCCATCAATGCAGTCAATGAGCCAATTGAAGGTACAATATACAGTACACTGCATTAAAGCCATGCTTGTTTTCTTTTGGGCAATAGTTAAATAGAAAGAAATTTAACAGATGATGGAAAAATAACTGTATTCATGACTTTATTGCTATATCTTTTTATTATATTATCTATATATCTGTTTATTATATTATGTAAGATACTTTTTAAGTTTTTTTAAGTTTTTGAATTGGAACTAGTTAGTGAAAGCACAATGATCATATATAGCTGGAACCAACCTGCATCTAGATAACAAAGACTTCTATAAACAAAGGTTCTGGTTGCCATCATCCAAAAACCCAGTTTGACATGGCTTCTGGCACAAGGTTTCAAGAAAGCATTATTTTCGTCTCATGTTCTCGATGAACCGTTTGTACAATGTACCCTTTACAGCCCTCACAGGTGATAACTGGACTCAAAGAAAGTAAATAACAATCCAACTACAAGCTGCAACTGCTGCTCCCTCCCTGCTCCCTACCTAACTATTGGATTTGTTATTGGATTTGTAATATGAAAATACCCTACAGTTTTGATGTACAGTATATAATGAATATGACATACTTCTTGTTTTAGACATAAAATGTGCAGTGAAAGACGTCACCGAAGGGAGTGAATATCAGTTTAGAGTATCAGCAATTAACGAGTCAGGTGCTGGAGACCCAAGCCCCCCTTCGGAAATGGTCTGTGCCAAGAATCCCAACAGTAAGTAATTGTGCCTTACTTGTAATATAATCATGGTTAGCCTGGTCAACATAACATTTTCTATTCAATCCTACAGTGAGACCACATTTCAAAGATCCAGAAGATTTCATGGTCGTCAGAGCGGGCAACTCAGTTCGGATCAAAATTAATTATGAGGTATGAAACATAATAACTGTAATTAAACTTGTAGCTCTCTGCTCTTTCGCTGAACTTTTGTTTCTGGTGTTGTTTTGTCTAGGCTGAACCTCCTCCTCAAATCACCTGGCTAAAGGACGATGAGCCCATATCTCCGTGGATTAATGTTATCAATACAGAAGGGCTGTCTCAGCTTGTTATTCCATCGTCAAAGCGCTCCGATTCAGCTGTGTACACAATCATAGCCAAAAACTCAGTGGGAGAGGCTTCCTTTGATATTGAAGTTAGAGTCACAGGTAATTAAAAGTTCAGTACAGTAAAATATGAATTGAATTAATTGCTTAAAAGATAAATAAAACAAAAAGGCCAGAAGGACAGAAAACAGTTCACATCATGCCCAACAAAATGCCATGTGCAGATAACATCTTATTTAATTTTCTTTATTTCGAAATAGCCAGAGCAAATATTGTTTAGTCCAGGATATCAGGCATATAGTAAATATCAAAGAAGTTTGATTCAGAAGTCACATTCTTGACCCTGTTACACAATGGTAACAGTGAAACTATTAAAACATTTGATTTGGCTCTATAATAAATACAGACACTCTTTGGTTTCTGGACCACACACAACTAAATAAAAATATAAATGTTTGGCAGATGAACCTAAGAGCCCTGGCCCAGTGGAGATAGAGCAGACAGTGCATGGGAAACTGCTGATCTCGTGGGCACCCTCACCTGACCAGGAGCTGGATGACCGCCTGTACTACGTAGTGTCCCAGTGCGACTCAAACAACCGCATGTGGAAGAATGTGGCCGACCGTCTCTTCACCAACAGCTACACGGCCATCAACATCAACCCTGGCGTCGAGTACCGCTTTAGGATCTTTGCCAAGAATGACATGGGCCTCTCCGATCCATCCCATTCTCCTCCTTGGGGAGTGAACAACAACAGAAGTGCGTTAGAGTTTGTCACAAGGCCTTTGAACGTCTCCCAGAAGTCATAGACAATCTGAAAGAATTGGTATGAGAGGCTAGTATTTACACTGCTCTGAACTAGAATAGTCCTGCCTAAGGGAGGAGTTATACCTCCTATTATAAAAGAGAGCAACAAATGTTTGATTAAGGCATAACCATCCTCCTCCTGTTTACAATAGACCTTGGTCAAATGAGGATTTAGCCTAGTCAAATGCCAACTAGGAACTTAGCAGCGGTGAGGGAAAAGCCATCAGAGAGAGGAGGAATCATCCATAACACAACTAGCAGGTAAGCAAAGGAAGATTCAGGTATAACCCCTCCCTTAGGGAAGGACTAATCTTGCTCAGGGCACTATTAATTCTGGCTTCTCAGACCAGTTGTTTCAGAGAAAAAATGACTTCCAGCTGGCAGTCAAAGCATCACAATTACAAAAGGAGGGTCCAGTTTTAAACAATAAACTCCTCCAATTTCCTACTCATTTTAATACAGCAAAGCAAACATTATCAGCATGGTTGTGCACGTAATTTGAAAAATCCTTTTATTTCTTGTATATTTTCTGTTTTATCTAGTTCCTATTCCGGCAAATGGACTGAATTCAACAGAAGTGAGCTTTGAGAGGCCACCCTCCATCTTGGTCCCTCTCAAAGTCCATACACCACCCAAGGGTTACCAGCTTTTCATGACATGTGCAGTACGAGGATGCCCCACCCCCAACATCTCCTGGTACTTGGACAACATCTGCATCAACTCTGATAACCACTACTACATGACCAACTCTTTCGGCGTCTGCTCCCTGTACATTCTCCGAGTCCGGCCCAAAGACAGTGGGGAGTACAAAGTGGTGGCTGTCAACTCGTTTGGACAGGCAGAGTGCTCCACTAAACTCATAGTTAAAGGTAAGATTTACAACTTCAAAACAGAAACAGGTCTACTGACTTTTTTATTGCTAAATTCGATTTTTCAAAAATTGCATAAGTGAAGGTGTGCAGAGATAGAGGGGAGGTGAAAACTGACCATTTCTAAACACATTTTCCTCAAATGCAAGACAATACAGTGTTACTTAACCATGCATGAATCACACAAAATACAACATGCTAAACTACTGATGAGTGAAAATTATTATTCTAACGTGATTAAAAGTTTATATTGTGTCCTTTAACATCTCAAACTGCTAGTCTCTGATTTGATCTCATTCTTTGAGGTCTGAGGGCAAAGGTCAGATGCTTTGTCTGCTAGTTTCTACAGGAACTTGCACTTGGCTTGCAACAATTAAAACCAAATTTTCTTTTGAATTCATTATTTGTATTAAAAAATATGGAATTAAATAAAGAAAATTTCAAAAGTCAAATAATTCTGTACATCTGAACACAATGTGGGACACAGTAACAGTGACAGTTTCAGTATATTATAAATATATTATGCAAAATTGAGAGCTTGTTCCTTTCTGATTTACCCACTCAAAGCAATATTTGCAATGATGCAGTCATGCATGTTTACATGATCTTTATTTGCTTACAATCAAGACACCACTGCTCCAAAAAATTCCATTTTACGCAACCCATTAATACATGGCCACTCATTTAAAAAATCTCATGTACCAATCAGCAGTGTGGCATAGCAAGTTTGATTTTTTATTTTATTTTTTTAAATTTTTGAATAATCTGCAGTTTGCTGCCCTGAAGTGTAGCTATCCATAGACGGGGCCGTCAGCATGGTCCAGCAGTGCAGTACTTTGTTGTGAATGATGACATACTTTAAAGGGGCAGACAGAAATCAGCTTCTCAGTTTTCAGGAAGTCAGCTGATGTGTGACTTGAATTACACAAGCAACAATTTCTGATTTAACATTTTTTACCTCCTACAGAATAAGATTATTTTTCAAGCAATGAAGAGCAGATGGAAATAGAAGAAGTGCTTTGAGACTGAACAAACTGATTGAAGATACTTTTTTTTTTAATGGGAAAAGAAATTAAACTGGTAAAAATAATGGCTAATATCAAAAGTATCTTAAGTGGGTGGAAAATTGAGAGTTTTTGCAAGTTTATTATTGTGTGAAGCCATTTTGGTAATTTCACATTTCGCTGGTAAATACAAATGTCTTTTGAAAGTGTACTAATTACATGCAGTAAAGAAGTAATCGTAACATTTTATTTAAAATACAATAAAAATAAAGATTTCTGTACATTTTGTGTCTGTCAAATTACATGCAGTGATTTTTTGGCTCTTGTCCCAACATAGTGCATCTTTAAAGGCAAAAGCATGTTCAAAGAAGAGTGTGTAGAGGACACATACAGTGCAAGATTGACACACTTTTCATGGCCTATAAAAAAAACCCCAGCAAATTCCATTTACTATAATTTCCATCACACATGAAGAGCAGCTAACCACAGCTCCTCATCTCCATCAGAGGCATTATTATCATTGGCCCCGCATCAGGGAAGTATGATTTTGAGTGACATTTCCAGGCCTCAGCTGCTTCTACGTTTGTGCCAGGGGCGTCTGCCATTGCCTAGAGGTTTAGCCCTGACAGAGAAACATGCTCTGTGAGGGTAAGGTGAAGGGGAGACCATGAAATCTATGGTTATTCTCAAACCACAGACAGACGTGAGTTGTACTTCATTACATTTACAAAAATGCATTTGCTTAACTTTTAATAAAACTGCTCTCCTTGGAATAGTTTTCTTAAGACAGTGCCTTGAGTAAGAATACTGAATAATACTACAAATAAAGAATTAGTCTTACAGTTACTATTGACAAAGATTTTTTGTCAAATACATTAAATGATTTGAACAGTTCTTGCATTGCTTCTTTAGATATTATTCTGTTTTTCAAATGTGTGTGGTCTGTCCTTTAAAAATACCAAATTTTATGTATTATAAGGTTTTGTCCTTATTCTGTTAACTTCAAATTATAAATCTGATGTTATGTCTAGAAAGTTACACTTACAAATAGTTTTCCAAACACTTTAAATTTAGTCCAGTTCTTTGGATCACTACTTGCACATATTTTAAAGTAATGGTAGGCTACTCTTACTTAAAAACAATTTTTAGCTCTTCTGCGCACTGACAGAGCACGCACAAGAAACAGTGTTATCCACAGAGACAGTAAACAAGGAGTGGGCTGATCAGGCCCATGGTCAGTGGGAACACGTCAGAGAGGTGTCAATGACTGCGTTAATAGCAGCCTGTACCGCGGCACCAGACTGTCTGACATACACACAATACCAAGATTATTTTTACCCTACAGAAACGGTGAAAAACAAAGTGATGGTAGAGGTGCTAAAAATGCTCCCATTGAACTAAAGTAAAATTGCTTTAAGTCGAAGGAAAAAGAAGGCATCCAAATTACATGAAAAAGCCAAGTGAATATGTGAAACATGAATATTAAAATTGGTAATGATAACACTGCCACTGTCAGGTTCACTGTCTGTAATTGTTCCTGTTCAAAGCTCATATGCAATGACATTTGTACTGCCAGTAAATCTATCCCACTTTTTGGATTTCAGTATTGATTTCATGAACATCAACAAAACTTTTCATCAGTACTGTTTAACACAAAAACAGCCCAATTTATTCCCCCAGAGTTTGACCTTTGCTCCAAACCACAGGATTGACTGTAGACTTCTCAATAAAAAAGCATATCATTCATTATTAGAAATGACTGAGTCAGTAGCACTTCAAATTCTCCTAATTGCCAAGCCCTAAATGGTTAATATTGTTGGAGTATATTTGGTTATGTTTAGCTTTGACTTCATGCAGGCTGCTTCTTCTCACAATAGACAGTAGAAATTCGTGCAATTGTCTTACATGATTTGCATACAGTCCTAGTACTTTTACTGAGAACCTTCTTTAAAAATAACTCATGTGGATTATCAGTTAAGCCCCATGACGAATACACTTACAGAAATAGTGTTGGTTGTTTATATGGGCTCTGGTCCTGTCTCTTTCCAAAATACTGTAAAATCTTATAGAGGATAGGATTTCTGATCTGTTCCCATTTCATAAGCCCTGACACCTGCTACAGTCTTGCAGCTCATACTAGACTGGACAAGGTGCAAACTCTACAAGTGTCCCTCATCACACCAATGACACTCCAGTTTATTTTCACTTTTCTGTTCTTTGAGCTCAGCCCTACTGGTTGACCTTATTTTCTCGGACTGTTCCCAAACCTTTAAGTAGAGAGCCTATTGTCTTAAATATGTTCTATGTACATTTTCTGGTGGAGTACAGTTGCACAATTTGGGAAAAATATTGAACTGCAATTGTTTGGGACAAGTATTAAGATTGGATGTGATGTTTTAAAAATAGGGTTCTGTTCAAAGTTCACATTTTAAGTGCATCCAGCAGAACTGACAAAAGAACTGTCAAACTAATAATGCATGAATCACATTTTAGAGATCTAAACAGGGTTAAGGTTAGCATTTCTTTTTGCAAGTATAAGGATATTTTTATATTTGTGGAGGAAATTGCAGTACTTGCAGCCTTTGTGAATAGCTAATTGCGTTCATTCAAATTGCATTGTTGAATCAATTGTGATTAATCTTGCAGAGCTACCATGGAAATGTTACTGCTTTTCCTGGAATTTTCTACAGTATGACATTAGATTTAATTATCATCTTAGAGACAAGCATGTTACACCAGTTACTGGTAAGATCTGTGGGGATCACAGAATGCATTTTCCAAGGCATTACAGAGCAATAAAAAATACCTTTAGCTGAATGGATGCAAGAGAGATATGTTTAAAGCCATACTGTGCAATATTCCAGGCAAATCAATGACACCTCTTCTGAGTCAAGCAGGTGGCAGATGCTCTCCAGAAAAGTTACATATTGCACCTTTAACTTTGCTGTAAGTGCAACTACTCAGTTATGTGGTTCAGAATATCAATGTGAATCACACCAAACTGCAGTTAAATTTGTGTTTTTATTAACATTATATGTAATTTATAAATAAAACTTTTCATATACTTCCTTTGGCCTTTATGCTGCACGTGTCTCCAGTAAAGCAGAAATGTGATTAGGTGTCCAAAAATACCAGACTCTGACAGACGGTAAATGGCCTATAAGATCACCTTTGCTATTTAAAAAGTGACAGCAATAAAGATAGCAAACTGGCTAACCTGACGTTTAATGTCATTCATGAACTGAAAGTGAAAGTTTTGTGTAAAAAACACTGTATTCCACTATGAGCCTGATGATATATAATCAATCATCAGTAATACAAAAATAAGTGAAAGTGAAACTTCAAATCAAAATCTTAACACACTGCAGACATTTAAACTGCTTTGATCAAAACAAGACCAAAAAGACATACATCAAATTTGTTTTTCTATTTGTTCATTGTTTATGTTTAGCAATTGTAGGACAAATTTAGATAAGCTTCCCACAACCCACAATATTAGTGCAACCTCTTTTTCACTGAGGTGGAGTTCGAGCAGGATCCTCGGAGTTGCTTGTGATTTTATTAATTATCTACATTTACAACATAAAACACATACAAAAAAAACGTATCCACAGTACTTAACATTTTTCCTTTGCAGCATCTACACAAAATGCTAAACTGCGTCAGTAGAGTACACATTCATTTGCCTGTGTTACAGATGTGCAAGCATGGTGTGGATGTAAAGAGCTTACCTTCAGGTCAGAGATCTCTTGCAGTTATGTATCAGCCTTCCTTTATGAGGTCGAGGTGACTATTCAAACTGTCGAGATAATTCGTGCTAGTTTAACCTCTGACAATGTCAACTCAAAAAGATGCTGCAGGCTATGAGTGCCACACGTCACTCCATCACAGCCACTATCTTTTTATAATGCCATGAGTTCAGCCAGCGCTGTCGGCATGTTGAGAGAAACTTTGTCCACTAATTGGAACGGGCAATGCATCACGAAGTTGAGATTGTTTTACTGAATAAAAGCTCTCAGATGAGTTTTTATGGTCCTATAAAATCTGCAGCAGTGTTATCGTATTACTGGGGACATTAAGTAGCTGCCAATAGATTGCGTTTTTGTTTTAAACTTAACTTTGATGAAATGGTACTCTATTCATCTTACTGCTATTGCTATAAAAAGTTTCAACTACATCGAATGGTGTTTATAAACAACAGACTGGGGCCAAAATACTTCCTTAACAAATCATAATGGAAAATATTATGTGTTGTCTGGTGACTTCATATTGTCAACACTGGACAACTGGCTTGATACATCCCAATAGCAGATTGAATGATGGGTCATAATGTATTTCCAGTTCTGAGTGCTAAGTGATCGCTTTCATGGGGATAAGTAAGAGGAACCTCCAACCTTAGCACGGACATAGTATGGGTATATCTCTCCCATGTAAGGGTTCTCATCCACTCCCGAATTTTATTACCGAACAAAAAGGGGAGTCTCCTTTTTCAAATCAGAGAGATACAGTGAAGAGCTCAGGAGGGATTGCTGAATGTAAACTGTGGGGATAACTGGTAAGTATACTCATTATTTATTTGATTAAAATGTTTTGAAATGTTTTACTTCAAAAATAGATAGACATGTAATTAAATAATATGGTAACAGCAAAGAATGATATGTCTAATGAAAATTCTTCTTTGTAAACGTGCATCTTCCAGGCTCATTTTAGTGTTGCGCTGCTTGGCAAGATGTTCCATGTAATCATTCTATCTCACTGGGAAATGGGAACAGAAAAAAGGAAAAGTCTATTCTCTGTTTTTAATCCTGTCGACCCAAAGTTTTTGGACAGACAATGTGACCTGCCTAGTGGCTTCTAATGACTAATCAGCAGCACTTCAAAGTCTCCACCTTAACTCTTAGCTGGAGCTACTCAAAGGATTTTTAGTAATTGTAGCTTTTGCATTTTATTACCTCAACTGAAAATGAATAGCCACATTATCAGTTATGCAAAAATGTTCTCCTATTTATTCCCAGTTTAAATTTCAATCTCTATATTTGGCTATTTGGCAATCTTGTTAATATTCCACTGCATTGTTTCACGTAATCATGGGATGAGGACTTTAAATCACTGAAGAGATCTAATGTGTGTGGGAAGTTATTGATTGCTCCGGTAATGGTACTAATGACTGAAATCTATGAATCAGTGGAATTGAAAATGTACAGGAACTACAGAAATCAATAATTAATCTAATAATTTACCCAATTTAGTATCTGTTACGATTTAATTAACATTTTCAATA